GAAATGCTTTAACTGAACTGCACAAAACTTTTCTTCTTCTCTGTGCAGCTGGTCTCCTGACAATTGATCCACGTGTGAGAGAAAGAAAAAAGCCTGGCCAGGAGGGAGCCCGCAGAAAGTTCACATGGAAAAAGCGCTGAATCTGAAAATCAAGGGGCAAACATTGCTGCTGTTATAAAATATTATATCTCTCTCCCTGTGTATATATTTGTAATTAAAGTGTATTTCACTTTTCTTGTATCTGTGTCTGTCTTTTTTGCCTAAAGCATTAATCCTCAACCTGTGGAATAGTGAAAAGCACTGTGCCTGCTTAATCTCCTGGAAGTAACAAATTAGCTGACAGCAAAGTTCTTTCCTACCAAGTGGACTCTCAAAATTTACTCAAGGCACAACAGAGAGGTATCTGTTAGTAGCTCTGCTATTTGGTATCACATAATTTTGCAGAAACTGTAGCATTATTGAGCACTCAGTATGAAAGAACAGGCCTTGGGGCAAAATAATCTATTCCTTGGATTATTCTTATGCAACCCACTTCTAAATAATGAAGCCAATTCATGTTCTATCATGTTCAAGCACTGTACCAAGAAACGGATTTACACCTCAGGACACAGTGGGATAATAGCCTCTCAACGCTGCATTTGTACTGTTCTTTGTGGAATGGGAGAACCATTGTAATCCATTTGGCCTGATCCAGTTGCTATTCCCAATGGCAGTGGACGTATTGCATCGATTACTAAATGGTAAATCAATATTTTATCCAATTCCCATTGATTCACTTTTCTGGTTGGGAACCTGCATCAGGATTTAGGCCTTGGTATTTTATGTAGCAGAATAATGATATTATACTTTTTCCAGCTACAACTTTTCAAAGATTTGAATTCCAGACTCGGGAGTGATTTTGAAACTTGTAGATAACTTTTAAAGCTGCATTATTGCTGGCTGTTAATACCTCTTTTTCCCACAAGATGGGGCTCTTTCCACCTGCTAATAAAAAGACAACTCAAAAGATTAAATAATATAGGGTAATAAAATAGAGCTGTATCAAACTTGTAATAAACCTGTACTTTGAAAGTCTTTCTATAATTGACTTCATTTTATTTAGAATCCAGGGTAGTTTACAGATTTCCCCCCCCCCCCCCAATTGATTCCATTTTTGGTTTAGTAAGAGTCATTTAGTTTTGAAAGCATTCTGTGTATTGGGCATTAAGTAGATTGATTATAGTAAGTTTTTGAGTAATTAAATATATTCCCCAATTGATCAAGCATTGGATTGGAGGGGTTTTTTCACACAGATATTCTAAAAATCTTGAGTCAGTGACATCTTGAAGACATTTCAGTATTAGATAACATTCTTCTGTGTGTTATCTATTACAATTTTTTTCTTCAGGCTTATTCAAATATGAAGTTATTCAATTAACAAAATTAATCTATTATGACTACCTTAATTACCAATGCTAGCAATTATTATAGGGGTTGGGTGTGTTGAGAAAGACTTAAATTAGTATCTAATTCCCAGTGAGGCTAGTAGTACAGTGAGCTGTAAAATGACTTGAGTGAAATCAGCATATAATTATGTTTTTGTGGTAATATTTCATCACTTGATCTTTACCTCTTATGTTGAAAAGTAAAAGGAACAGGGTTAAATACAGTGCACTGATTAAAAGGTAAAGGTTTCCCCTGATATTAAGTCTAGTTGTGTCCGACTCGGAAGTAGTGCTCATCTCCATTTCTAAGCCAAAGAGCAGGCGTTGTGCATAGAAACCCAAGGTCATGTGGCCAGCATGACTGCATGGAGCACCGTTAGCTTCCCGCAGAAGCAGTCCATATTGATCTCACATTTGCATGTTTTTGAGCTGCTAGGTTGGCAGAAGCTGGGGCTGACAGCAGGAACTTACTCCGCTCTCCGGATTTAAACCACCAACTTTTCCGTCATCAAGTTCAGCAGCTCAGCAATTTAACTCACTGCACTATCAGGGTGCCCCAAAATTCACTGATAAACAGTGGTATCTTTGGAGTAAAAGTGCTGAAACCCTCTTGCAAACAATTCTGTGTGGTTCTGTATACCAATGTAATTCTCAGTTCCATATAGGTGATACTATGGAGTAGTTGCAAGAAAAGTCACTGTACAGTTAGATACGTATAGTCACCCCTTTACAAGGGTGGTTAGAGGAAGCAGCCAAATCATTCATCCATTGTTTTATTTATACCTTGTTTTCCCCCTAGACTGGAACTCTGGATGGCTGACAAGAGAGAAAAATATAACAAAAAGGACATATAGTTATGGACATACAAATTTGAGATAATCTAGAAGCATAGAATTGGAAGAGACCTCATGGGCCATCCAGTCCAACCCCTTGCCAAGAAGCAGGAAAATCATGTTCAAAGCATCCCCAACAGATCCAGCCTCTGTTTAAAAGCCTCCATAGAAGAAGCCTCCACCACACTTCGGGGCAGAGAGTTCCACTACTGAACAGCTCTCATAGTCAGAAAGTTCTTCCTAATGTTCAGGTGGAATCTCCTTTCCTGTAGTTTGAAGCCATTGCTCCGCGTCCTAGTCTCCAGGGCAGCAGAAAACAAGCTTACTCCCTCCCTATGACTTCCCCTCACATATTTATACATGGCTATCATGTCTCCTCTCAGTCTTCTGCAGGTTTAACATGCCCAGCCCTTTAAGCTGCTCCTCATAGGGCTTTTTCTCCAGACCCTTGATCATTTTAGTCACCCCCTCTGGACGCATTCCAGCTTGTCAATATCTCTCTTAAATTGTGTCCCAGAATTGGACACAGTATTCCAGGTGTGGTCTAACCAAGCAGAAATGAGTAGCATGACTTCCCTGGATCTAGATACTATACTCCTATTTATGCAGGCTAAAATCCCATTGGCCTTTTTAGCTGCAGCATCACATTGTTGGCTCATGTTCAACTTGTTGTCCACAAGGACTCCAAGATCTTTTTCGCATGTACTGCTGTCAAGCCAGGACTCCCCCATTCTGTACCTTTGCATTTCTTTTTTTCTGCTTAAGCAGAGTATCTTGCATTTGTCCCCATTGAAGTTCATGTTGTTAGTTTTGGTCCATCTCTCTAATCTGTTAAGATCATTTTGAATTCTGCTCCTGTCTTCTGGAGTATTGGCTATCCCTCCCTCCCAATTTGGTGTCGTCTGGAAACTTGACGATCATACCTTCTAACCCTTCATCTAAGTCATTAATAAAGATGTTGAACAGGACTGGGCCCAGGACAGAACCTTGCGGCACTCCACTCGTCAGACTAAGAACGTAATTAAAAATAATTTAAATACTACTTTAAAACAACGAATAGCAGCAGTACAGCACTGTCAGATCCTCTCCCCAAATTGGTCTTGCAGTTGCAAACCCTTGGCCTGTTTTCACTCCCATTTCCCTCTAAAGATCCTTCCCTGGATCAGGTACTTGGAACTCAAGAAGATCTCCATGTGGCCCAGTGGGTTCAGAGTGACCAGACAATCAAAACTTAACAAGAAAAGCTATACACCCTTGTAAAAACCGAATAAGCAGGTAGAAGTCAATATACAATTAGACCACAAATTGACCCTTGCACTATTTAATCATTCAGAGCTCTCCAAAACCCTCTTCACGTCTTCCCCAAGTTGATTGTCCCATTTCTTTTGCAGCTTTTCTCCTGCATTCTCACCAAATGTGCCCGTGAAGATGATGGAATAAAAATAAATGCCTTCCTTGAGCAGAGTCATAAGGAAAACTTAGGTCCTTCAAGTTGCCTCAAACTCAAAAATACAATGTGTTACAGCTCCCATTTTAGACTGTGACCAGAGACTAGACTAGCAGGCAGTGGAGCTGTTACAACAAGGGAGTTGTGTGTGTGATCCCTATACCCAACCCTCATCATTAACAATCTGGTGGCAGATCTTTAGAATATTTGAACACATTTCAAAGTCAGTCCTACTTAAGAGTGCATTATAGTAATTCAACCAGGATGTCTTTAAGGCATTCGTCACCATGGCCAAATCAGAAGTGCCAAAGAATGAAAACGGAATCCCGATTCTTGCACCACAGGAATGTGAGCATCCACATTCAAAACTTAGCCTGGGAGAGCACACAAATTGCTACTGTGTCTTCAAGGGAAATGTAACTCATCCAACAAAATCTGAATCTCAACATCCCTTCCAGTTGGAGCAGAAGTGATGGACCAGAAGAAAGGGGCTTTCGAAAATGACTTTCAGATATACTAATATGTTTATGGGCTATCCAAAGCAGCCAGGATGCATGGGCAACATTTAGTAAATTTTAAAAATGCTTTAATTTTACACCAGAACTCAAATTTTAACATCTGTATCAGGTACTGCAGAAGTTAAGAGTGTTGTGATTGAGTAAATATGGTTTGAAGAAATATTTAGAATCATAGCCATTTTGAAGCTAATTTAATATGGCTCTTGGCGCCTTCTGGCAAACTTTTGTTTTACGGTGAACAAAAAGTTAAATGGGTTTTTGGGCTGTAAGGCCATGTTCCAGTAGCATTCTCTCCTGACATTGCACCTGCATCTGTGGGAGAAAGAACTCTTGCCTGTTTGAAGCAAGTGTGAATGTTGCAATTAGCAAGCTTGAGTAGCATTGAGTAGCCTTGCAGTTGCAAAGTCAATCAGTGGGGGTGTTTGTTGGCTGTTTCTCGGTGCTATTCTTTATTTATTGTCTTGATTCTGAAACACCAGAATCAAGACAGTAAATAAAAAAACACCACTCGGAAACGAGAATTCCAGACAACCAACAATCAGGTCTCAGCTAACACCTCCCAAGCAAGGGATGCCTCCAGGCAACAACAGCCAAGAAACACTCTCACTGATTGACTTTGCAACTGCAAGACTACTCAATCAAGTTTGCTAATTGCAACATTCACACTTGCTTCAAACAGACAAGGGTTCTTTCTCCCACTCTGGACATTCCACAGATAGATAGATGGATGGATGGACAGACTCACTCCACTTGCCTCATTTCCAACAGGCCTCTGAACAAACTTCTGAGGATGCTAGCCACAAATGCATGTGAAATGTCAGGAGAGAGTGCTACTGGAACATGGCCATACAACCTGAAAAACTCAAATCCGGCCATTAAAGCCTTCGACTACACAAAAGGTGAGCTGTAAGGAATGTTAGGTTATAGACATTTGAATCCTGCCACTACCCTCCTTCCTTGGATTCCTGTTAGACATTTTTTCCTCCTGTAGACCATTCTTTATTCCGCAAAAGAAGGTAGTTTTCAAACTTGCTTTTTATTACAATGGACAATAATTAGGAATCTTTTAGTTTATGAAAATCATAATATAAAGAAAAGAGATGCAGTTATTTGCATAAAGATTTTAAAATTGCTTGGTAGTTAATTCTACTCTTTGCATCTCCATTGTTAATCCTTGATGGTTGCACATAATTATTGTGCACTCAAGTACCTATGCTGCTCTGGAGACTAGGACAGGGAGTAATGGGTTCAAAGAACAGAAAAAAGGGACTCCACCTAAACATTAGGAAGAACTTCTTGATGTGATGTTGAAGGCTTTCATGGCTGGAATCACAGGTTTGCTGTGAGTTTTCTGGGCTGTATGGCCATGTTCCTGAAGCATTTTCTCCTTAGGTTTCACCCACATCTATTGCAGAGGTTGAGTGGTCTATTTATTATTTATTTGCTGTACTTATACCCCGCCCTTCTCAGCCCGAAGGGGGACTCAGCAATAATATAGCAATAATTCAGTGCCAGATTCAGATAATAATATCAATATTATAAAACTGTAAAAACACATATATATCAATTAAAATAGGGTTTGGGTTAGGGTAAGGTTTAGGGTTAGGGTAAGTGTTAGGGGTTACAGTTAGGATATGGTTTAGGGTTAGGGTAAGGTTTGGGTTTGGGTTAGTGTAAGGGTTAGGGTAAGGTTTAGAGTTTGGGTTTGGGTTAGTGTAAGGGTTAAGGAAAGGTTTAGGGTAAGGTTTAGGATTTGGGTTTGGGTTACAGTTAGGATACAGTTTAGGGTTAGGGTAAGGTTTAGGGTTTGGGTTACAGTTACAGTTAGGGTAAGGGTTTGGGTTAGTGTAAGGATTAGGGTTACAGTTAGGGTAAGGGTTTGGGTTAGTGTAAAGGTTTAGGGTTTGGGTTAGGGTTACAGTTAGGGTAAGGGTTAGGGGTTACAGTTAGGATACAGTTTAGGGTTAGGGTAAGGTTTAGGGTTTGGGTTAGGGTTACTGTTAGGATAAGGTTTAGGGTTAGGGTTAGCGTAAGGGGTTGGACAAGGGGTTAGGCTTAGGCTTACAGTACGATTCATGGTTAGGGTAAGGGTTTCACCATTAAAGAACTCTTACATTCCTTCTATATTATCTGTCTCCGGCCTGGCTTAATTAGTTAAGTCTCTCTTGCGCAAACAACACTCTTGAAGGAGCGATGTGGCATCTCCGTAACGCTCGGAGCTTCCGGACCCAGCTATCATACTATGATTCCTAGGTTGAGAAACGCTGGCCTATGGAATCGACTTATGCATGAGCTTTCCTAACTGCGATGTCTGCGGAGCGCCTGCAGGTGGCGCTGCTTCCCTTCAGTCTTTGCCTTGCGGCGGAGAGGCGCCTGGAAGGAAGGAGGGAGGAAGGAAGGAAGGAAGGAAGGAAGGAAGGAAGGAAGGAAGGAAGCCAAGGCAGCGCCCAGGAGGAGCCCGGCTTAAGAGAAGGGGACGGAAGCCAGGTAAGTGGGGATGGACTGCTGGCCCCGCTTCTGCTAGACCTAGAGCCTCGTGTCTCAGTTGTAAGGCACCCTCTCCGCAGATGAGAGTTCCCCCATCGCGGCGTTGCAAAGCGCCCTGGCTGCACAGCCTCAGGTGTCACAACTCTCCTTGATCTCCTGGCGCGCCTGGAGGCATGCTTTGTGCATCCTGCACCGACGCTTTGTGTGCGTGTGTGTGTTTTGCACCAGTTTCCTCCCCAAAGCCAAGGGAGGCTGCGGCAGAGGTCCCGCCCCAAAGGAAGCCGGCGTCGGATTACATAACAGAGCCACTCTTCTCTTGGGGTTCAGCCTGGGAATGGGGAGGAGAGGGGCTTCTGCCCAGTCTTCTCCCCGCTTCTTCCCTGGCAGTTTCTTCTCCTTAGGAACTTATCCCCCCCCCCCCCCCCAAATTTAGGATTGTGCCACTTGGGGAAAAGTCAACCCTGCTCTATGGAATAGTGGTTTAGTTTACTTTGGGTCCCAAAAGGCAAGCTGATGGAGGGATCTATTCCAAGTGCTGGTTGGGACCCATGAAACCTTTTTTATATGGCTCACGTCCAGTGGGTTAAACCCTTGTGCCAGCAGGACTGAACACCGACAGGTCGCAGGTTCAAATACGGGGAGAGCAGGGATGAGCTCCCTCTGTCAGCTCCAGCTTAGTGGTAAATATCCACCAGCATTCATGCTAGGCAATTCGGTTTCTACGAGCCCCCGGTGGCACAGTGGGTTAAACCCTTGTGCCGGCAGGGCTGAAGACGGACAGGAGGTTTGAATCCAGGAAGAGCGCAGATGAGCTCCCTCTGTCAGCTCCAGCTCCCCATGCAGGGACATGAGAGAAGCCTTCCACAAGGAAAACATCCAGGTATCCCCTGGGTGACATCCTTACAGACGGCCAATTCCCTCACACCAAAAGCAACTTTCAGTTTCTCAAGTCTCTCCTGACACCCATGCACACACACACATGTGTGCACATGCGCGGGCACACACACAAAAAAGCCTAACTGATAGCACTGATGGGTTCATCTACATCAGTGGTTCTCAATCTTCCTAATGCCGCAACCCCTTAATACAGTTCCTCATGTTGTGGTGACCCCCGACCATAAAATTATTTTCGTTGCTACTTCATAACTGTAATTTTTCTACCGTTATGAATCGTCATATAAATATCTGATATGTAAAATGTATTTTCATTCACTGGATCAAATTTGGCACAAATACCCGAAATACCCAAATTCAAATATTGGTGGTGTTGGGGGGGGATTTGTCCTTTGGAAGTTGTAGGTGCTGGGATTTATAGTTCACCTACAATCAAAGAGCATTCTGAACTCCAGCAACAATGGAATTGAACCAAACCTGGCACACAGAACTCCCATGGCCAACAGAAATTACTGGAAGGGTTTGGTGGGCATTGACCTTGAGTTTAGGAGTTGTAGTTCACCTACATTTATTTATTTATTTATTTCGGTCATTTATACCCAGCCTTTCTCACCCCCTAGGGGGGACTCAAGGCGGCTTACATCCGGCACAATTCGATGCCCACAATTACAATAAAATGCAATAGCAAAACACAATAGATTAAAAACAGGCAATTAATACAGTACAACATAACACAATACAATATCAACTAAAAACCACTCTAAAACTTGCGTTCATCGTGTTCTAAAATCCGTCAATCCGTTTAGCATTGCCATAGTCATTTCCAGCTCTAGTCATCATTACCATGTTACCCTGCCAGACTACCCAAATGCCTGGTCCCCTATCCATGTCTTCAGCTTTCTCCTGAAGGAGAGGAGGGATGTTGACAGCCTAATTTCCCCGGGGAGTGAATTCCACAGGCGAGGGGCCACCACTGAGAAGGCCCTGTCTCTCGCCCCCACCAGCCTCACTTGTGATAAAGCACATTCAGAGAGCACTGTAGACTCAATGATGGATCTGGACCAAACTTGGCACGGATACTCAATATGCCCAAATGTGAACATTGGTGGAGTTTGGGGAAAATAGACCTTGACATTTGGGAGTTGCAGTTGCTAGGATTTATAGTTCACCTACAATCAAAGCACATTCTGAACCCCACCAGCAATAAAATTAGCCCAGACTTCCCACACAGAACCCCCATGACAAGCAGAAAATATTGTGTTTTCTGATGCTCTTTGGTGACCCCTCTGACACCCCCTTGTGACCCCACCAGAGGTCCTGACCCACAGCTTGAGAAACTCTGATCTACATTGTATATTTCATGGAGTTTTAACACCACTTATCAGCCAGGGCTCTGTGCGGTGGAATCCTGGGAGTTGTAGTTTGATGAGATACCACCACTGTTTGGGCAGAGCAGGTTGTCCAGTCAAGGACCTTACCAAACTCCCAGGATTCCACCATACTGAGCTGTGGCCCTTAAAGTGGAGACAAACTGCATTCATTCTACAGTGCTGATCCACCCTATAATCTCCAATTTAAGCTGGCCTTGGGCCCTGTCCACTCTGTAGAATGAATGAATGCAGTTTGGCACCGCTTTAACAGCCATGGCTCAGTGCTGTGGAATCCTGGGTGTTGTAGTTTCATAAGGCACCAGCGCTTTTTTTGGCAGAGAAAGATAAAGATCTTGCAAAAATACCATTATCAAATTGAGTCAAAGTGGTGTTAAATTACATTAATTATTCAGTGCAGATGCAGCTTAAGTATGGCTGAGAAGAGAGGTATTCAGGAAGACCTGTTGATTTGTGCTAGCCTTCAACAGTACTTCAACTATTTTTTTCACTCTTCTAGTAGCATTTTAAAATGAATTTACTTTGTTCAAAGCTTAGTCTGACTTCCATTAGTAATTCCAATGGGTTTAACCTAGGGGAAAAAAATCAATTAATATATAGCTGGAGTTATACTTAAGAAGTGTACCTTTTCTGACTTACAAACAAATTCAACTTAAGAACAAGCCTATGGGACCTATTTTGTTTTGGAGAGGAGGTGAGATTTTAGCCCAATGTTTGCATAGTCTAGCTCTGTAAATCATAGGATACTTAGGATTGCCATTGATTTTATGCCGCTGTAGTGCCTTCCTCTTTGCATGTTTCACCCTTTCATCCTCTAGTCTTGTCTCTTTGAATTCCACAGCACTGCTGGTCACAGCTGACCTCCAGCTAGAGTGTTTGAGGGCCAGGGCTTCCCAGTTCTGTGGGTATTGGTTCCATGGATATTGGGGGGTGGGGTGAGTCTTACCATAATAGGTAAAGGTAAAGTCGGACACAACTAGACAGTAAGTCTAGTTATGTCCAACTCTGGGGGTTGGTGCTCATCTCCATTTCTAAGCCGAAGAGCCAGCGTTGTTCGTAGATGCCTCCAAGGTCATGTGGCCATCATGACTGCATGGAGTGCTGTTACCTTCCAGCCAAAGCGGTACCTATTGATCTACTCACATTTGCATGTTTTCGAACTGCTAGGTTGGCAGGAGCTGGGGCTAACAGCGGGTGTTCACCCTGTCCTGCGGATTCAAATCACCGACCTTTTGGTCAGCAAGTTCTGCAACTTAGCAGTTTAACCCGCTGCACTGTTGCGGCCCCTTTTTATCGTAATACAAACGACTTAAAGCTCCTATGAAAAATGGAGCAATACCTCAAGTCCTGAACCTCAACCATGCTGTTGATTTGTTTGCTATGAATTGGATTCCCTTGACTTATTGCTATTTTTCCTATTTTTCATAAGATGGATCTTTCACGGTTTTACCACTAGGTCATCCTGTCTGCCCTTTTCCAGGGAGGGATTGCCATGGAGATGTGGGGAAGAATATCAATGCGGCTTCCTTGCCGCAGGAGATCTGACTCAACTTACTAATGGAGCCTGGTTTTGAAAGGCTAGCATTAGCAGCTTGGTATAGCCCCCCCCCCCCCCCCACACACACACACACACACTCCAGTACTTCTCCAGCCATTCACAAAGTGCTACCTTGCTGAGATGTTTCATTGATCACAGATGGCCCTTATCTCAAGGTTTAACTTGAGAGTGCTGCTTTTGTCTAATATTTAACAAAGCGCATTTAAAGACAAATGCTATGGTTCAACAGCAAGAAGCATTTTGAACTGTCAGGTTAAGTGGCTCATTTGAATATTGCCCATCTATCTTTGTCGAGTTCATTTTTTAAAGGGCTAGTTTTTCATTACTGTAAAAAAGTCCATCTGGATCTTGGATTAAAGTGATGATGGGTCATGGAGTGGGTTTCAGTATCTTTTTCCCTGAAATGTTTTGTCGCAGATCAATACTCTTTTTAAAAAGCACTTCATGTAAAGAATGCTTAGATACCTGTTCATAAGCAAGCACATGCTGACACAAATTCACAGGTTGGAGAAATGATGCCATAACCTTTTGGGAAATTGAAATCTCCATAACATCGTTGAAAAATGGCATTCATTACCATTTGAAAAAAATCAGGAATCTCCCTGAGAAGAGTTAAAAACTTGTTTGAGTCAACCTTCTCCTTAGTAGTAAATATCTACAAGCATTCATGCAAGGCAATTAGGTTTCTAGGAGCCTCCGGTGGTGCAATGGATTAAACCCTTGTGCCGGCAGGACTGAAGATTGACAGGTCAGAGGTTCAAATCCAGGGAGAGCGTGAATGAGCTCCCTCTGTCAGCTCCAACTCCCCATGCAAGGACATGAGAGAAGCCTCCCACAAGGATGGTAAATCATCAAAACATTCGGGCATCCCCTGGGCAACGTCCTTGCTGACGGTCAATTTTCTCACACCAGAAGCAACTTGCAGTTTCTCAGACATCCTAGATATCTCTTTGAACTGTTAGGAACAAAGATATGCCAATGCACAAGATAATAGCCAAGTTTCAAAAGTGTTATTTTAGTTGCCCCAAAATATCTACTCTTCTTTAAAACGTCTTGGTTTTTTGATCTCGAGAGACCAAAAAATAAATTTATTTATTTACATTATTTCTATCCCGCCCATTTCAGCCCGAAGGCGGGTCAGGGCGGTATACATAGTCGGCACAATTCAATGCCGAAACAAAATACATACATTAATAAAGCAAAAACATTAAGTGCAAATTAAACATAAATGACAGTGCGTAATAAACAATTTAAAAAAGAACTATGTCTTTAAAAGCAACATTGTTTAATGTGTTGTTGAAGGCCTTCATGGGCTTCAACAACACATAGCCTAAAGTTTTTAACCTGTGGGTTGCCAGTTTAACCTTTGAGGATGCCTGCCATAGATGCAGGTGAAACGTCAGGAGAGAATACTTCTGGAACATGGCCATACAGCCCGAAAAACCCAGTAACATAGTTTACTCACTAACTTTATGTATTCAGCATACAGGTACTTTGCAGGCAAACAGTTTGAAGGCACATACTTTACTTCACAAAGTGAGGCATTCCACTGTTGTGAGGGATCAATGAACTGATGCCCTTTGAAAATTGTTCAATCTGCAGTGGATTGCAGGGCAAGAACCAGTTGCTTCTGACACTGCTTACTGTTTGTGGATGAGCTTGAATGAATTCATCTGAGCCATGACAAAATAAGCAGAGTGTTGCATCAATGCAGAAGCAATATATCTTGTGTCACTCTGCAGTGTCTAATTAATTTATTGTTCCCTTATATCAGCCTTTCTCAATGGGGAATATGGGTCCCTGGAGTGGGATCATGAGGGGGTTTCAGGTTGCCAAAAACCATCAGAAAACACAGTGTTTTTTGTTGGTCATGGGGGTTCTGCGTGGGAAGTTTGGCTCAATTCTATCGTTGGTGGGGTTCAGAATGCTCTTTGTGTTTAGGTGAACTATAAATCCCAGCAACTACAACTCCCAAATGTCAAGGTCTATTTCCCCAAACTCCACCAGTGTTCACATTTGGGCATATTGAGTATCCATGCCAAATGTGGTCCAGATCCATCATTGTTTGTGTCCACAGTGCTCTCTGGAAGTAGGTGAACTACAACTCCAAAACTCAAGGTCAATGCCCACCAAACCCGTCCAGTATTTTCTGTTGGCCATGGGAGTTCTGTGTGCCAAGTTTGGTTCAATTCCATCATTGGTGGAGTTCAGAATGCTCTTTGATTGTAGGTTAACTATAAATCCCAGCAACTATAACTCCTGAATCCATGTCAGATATTTACATGATGATTTGTAACGGTAGCAAAATTACAGTTTTGAAGTAGCAATGAAAATAATGTTATGGTTGGGGGTCACCCCAACATGAGGAACTGTATTAAGGGGTCGCAGCATTAGGAAGGTTGAGAACCACTGCCTTATATCCTTAAGATCATAAGAACAATATTGGAGAAGGCAAGGGATCTGGATTAATGATGTGAAAGGAGGCCATAGTAGAATGACAAAAAAACCTGCGAACTCTCTATGGGAAACAACAATTTGCCAGTTGCCTCTAATAGAGAGAGAACATTGTGTGTAAAGAACATCTTGTTATTGCTGAAAGACCGGGAGGTGATCGTTCTGCAACAATGGGCTGATGTTCCAAAGCTTTTTGCCCATTTGTTTGTGTTACTCTGTTTTGTTCTTGTTTCAAACTGAATGATGGAATCGGCCTTTTTATTTGAGTTGCAGCAAGGTACATTGGCACAGGCAAAGTTCTGCTTATTGGACTGAGTTCAATGCAGAGCACATCCATGTCTGTTATTATTTATATGCTTTCTCAGCTTACATATAGAAAGAAAGTAGGAATGATGTGGTCTGGCAACATCTGGGCATTCTATGACTAATGGGAATATTCACATAGCAAACAATCTTAAATGGGTGTATTTTAAAATATAACATGCCTATATAGTATTAGGGATAAAGGATATGGATCCCCCTGGTTATATTTGGACCTCAATTTTATAATTGGCAGTGGTAGCCAAAGCTAGTTAGGAATTGCAACCCAACTGCCTCTTTAAGATCATGTTTTCTTTCTTTTGATAGAGAGTAAGTGAGCATCCTCACCATGAGAAGTTAACAAGTCTGCTTTCTGGAGAACTGACTCTGGAAACTGAAAAAATGGCAATGGGAGATAAGGGAGGGAAACACGCAATGTTGAAGTGCATGGCTCTTGGGTAAATTATAAAGATCCTTCATCTTCACCAGACAGTTCAGTGCACCAAACTGAAACTTTGCTTGGAAGATTAATGCGCAGAAGCACTGTTCTCTAGTAGTACTCATAGGAAGCTGCTATGACTTTCTTCACTCAGTTACCTTCCTAGTGAGCCATTACATAGGGGCATAGACATTGTATGTATTACAGAGAACAGCTGTTCTGATAAGAATATGATGTAGTATGAATGAGCAGCTCTGTTTGGGGTTACTTGCATTTCAGAATCATGGCTTTGTAAAGAGTAATTGATGATGTCTATTGACCGGATAATATTTCTGGAGCAGGGGAATCATTCAGAAGTGTGTGTGTGTGTGTGTGTGTGTGTATACCTCTAGTTCAGTAATTCCCAGCGTGTGGTCTGTGGACCACCAGTGGTCTGCAAGAACTAAAATTTCATCCGCAGCCTCACCATTACTACATTGTTGCAACGAGAGCAACTAGTCTCGCGAAACCCTTTTACAATGCTGTTGTTGTTGTTTATTCGTTCCGTCAATTTCGACTGTTTGTAACCTCATAGACCAGCCCACGCCAGAGCTCCCTGTCAGCCGTCACCACCCCTAGTTCCTTCAGAGTCAACTTATAGTGCTGAGGCTTATTAAATATGTTTTCTGTGGGTGAGCAGATGGAGACTACTGGATGTCATATGCTCTGTATCAGAAACTACAGCTGATGTGGTCCATCCAATGCAATGTTCTGAATCAGCACTACAAATAACCAAACTGACTAAAGTTGACCAAAAACTGACTCTTAACCCTTTTGGTACTAATGCAGGAGAGTGGTCCCTGGTGAAGTGGTCCCTGGTCAAAAAAAGGTTGGGAACCATAGCTTTAGTTAATAAGATACAACATATCTTGGAAGCAATAGTTCTATGAAGCCCTGATTCATTTTAATAAAAACCTATAGTGCTATATTATGATATTTGGGTCCTGAATCCTGCTGATACACTACATATAGCAGTTGAAGTTAGGCTTGAACACACATTGAACTCGCTTTTATTGTTATGAATCCATAGTTCCTATCATCATTTTTTTTTCTCCAGTTGTGTAGATCGGGGAGTCCCTGAACGCTTGATAATGTCTCCACCTACATCACTGCTAAGGAAATGGAAGAACACCCTGTTCACCTCAATCTCTATTATCTCATTTTGTCAATGACTGTTGAAAGGATCTTTGGACAGGCTCTTTGTGAAAGGTTAACATCTCTTTAAAGCCTGACTCATACAATGGGAAAATGGAACCAACCAAAGACATAGCAGGAAGACTGTGTGGGCTCTGCTTCTCAGATACCAGTGTTTTGCACTATGATGGCATGCAATGGGACTCCTCCAGGGATTTTTGTTGCCCTGAATACAAGTGCCCAATTTCCAAGCTCCAATTACAGAGACCTGCCAACTCCACTGCGGATACTCCTGGCCATAATAATGCTATTCATGATTGCAGTCGGATTCTTAGGCAATGCCATTGTCTGCTTGATTGTCTATCAAAAACCAGCTATGCGTTCAGCTATCAACCTGCTTTTAGCTACTCTGGCTTTCTCTGATATCATGCTGTCTTTATTCTGTATGCCTTTTACTGCAGTCACCATCATTACAGTGAACTGGAACTTTGGGGCGCACTTTTGCCGAATATCAGGTATGCTCTACTGGTTCTTTGTCTTGGAAGGTGTAGCTATACTCTTGATCATTAGCGTGGATCGATTCCTGATCATTGTCCAGCATCAAGACAAGCTGAACCCCCACCGTGCCAAAATCATGATTGCAATTTCTTGGGCCTTTTCTTTCTGTATATCTTTTCCTTCAGTGGTTGGGTGGACATTTGTAGAGGTCCCAAGCCGGGCTCCCCAGTGTGTCTTGGGGTACACTGAACTTCCTGCAGACAGAGCTTATGCTGTGATGTTGCTGGTGACCATTTTCTTTGTCCCTTTCAGCATCATGTTATATTCTTACCTTTGCATTTTGAATACTGTCCGGCGGAATACCGTTCGGATCCACAATCATGCTGAGAACGTCTGCTTGAGTCAGGTGAGCAAGCTGGGCCTTGTGGTGCTCCCAAAGGCTCACCAAATGAATGTGGACATGAGCTTCAAGACCCGAGCCTTCACTACCATTCTCATCCTTTTTGTTGGCTTCTCCCTCTGCTGGCTGCCGCACACAGTCTTCAGCCTGATGTCCGTGTTCAGCAGGCAGTTCTACTATGGTCCTTCTTTCTACATCACTAGCACTTGCGTGTTGTGGCTCAGTTACCTCAAGTCAGTGTTCAATCCCGTCATCTACTGTTGGAGGATCAAGAAGTTCCGCGAAGCCTGTCTGGAGTTTCTGCCAAAGACATTTAAGCTCTTTCCCAAAGTGCCTGGCCGGACGAACAGGAGAGTGAGACCAAGCACAATATATGTCTGTGGTGAGAACCAGTCTGCTGTTTAGAGTTGCACCAGGATGAGTTCATAGCCAGGGAGAAGAGGACAAAAAGTGTTTGAAATCAGGAATTGTTTGTTCAACCGTCACTGCTTTTGTTGCACCATTTTTATTGTGTTATTGTACTAAATGAAGCACATCTGACTTTTGCTTAACAGCACCAGCATTGCACTTGCTATTATAGTTTCACCATGAGAATGTTGAAGTATTAATTTATCAAGTATACTGCTGATGATGGTGATGATGATGATGACAGTAGAATCTTTCAGGTAATCAGGAATGTGTAAGCAAGAGTTATGTATTTATGACTGCTTTGTATTCATAATACCTACATATCCTCTAATTTAGGGGATGTTGTGGCCCTCAATCTCTGCAGGGGTTTGGTTCCAGGACTCCTGATAAATATCAAAATCCATAGTAGCTCAAGTACCATTACATACAATGGCAGAGTAAAATTGCGCCCATTATATAAAATGGCAAACTTTTGGGGAATCTGAGCTGTTAGGTTCAAAATAACCCACAGTTTGGGTGATTTCACCATAAATATAGCACAGTACCAGAAGTAAACTTCATAACCAACAGAAACTTACATGTGGTGAACTAGGATAGCATTCTTTATCTTAGGAGGGATCAGGATTGCAGAGTCAGTATTTTAGGTTCAAAAAAATATTTATTGAGGTGAAAGAAATACATTCTTGATAGAAAAGGTTTTGGAACTAACTAGCTTACCAAGTCTTACCTTCTAAAGAAGGTAAAAGGTAAAAAGATCCAAGCAGCTACATTTTGCCTAGAGAGAGGCAAAATTTGTCCTTACTGGAAGGAAGAAAAGGCAGAAGAGATTGGAAAATGGCGAATGGCTACATGGCCAGCCCAGGGCAATAAAACTTAAAGAGGAAGTTCCCTCACAGGATTCCATTGCTACATCATCAAATGGGGAGGAGTCAGTGGTTGGCAGGTAGTGTAAAGACAAAGCCCTTTAGGGAAACCTACATAGGAATGTCAGGGGAGGAATCCCTCAGCCTAGTCCTATCTCTAGCCTAGCTATTAATTGAGGACTGGAAACTTGATGACACAAAAGACTTGTGCAGTACAGAGATGAAACCCAACACAAACAGTTCAAATGAATGCCAGAAAGAGCCTGAGGATCTCTAAAATGGCAGAAGGCTACAACAGGGTATGCCTACTCATCCGCATAGCAATTGGCACACAGCAAAATCAAGGGTCGCTTTTTGGATTTTTTAAAAGCATTCTTGAGTTATGGTTAGTTGGATCTATGGATGCAGAACCTTTGGATACAGAGGGCCAACTTATGTTGGGACCATTAAAGTCCTCCTATCCTTACTTGCCAGTCAGAAGCTACTGTGATCAATGAGCATCTGTTTCAGTCACTCAGAAAGTGGCAGTCTGTCATTCTCATATCCCATTCCCATGCGATTGAACTTTTTTTGCAGAGCGAGGATTACAACACTAACTTCCTTTCTGCCTTTCCCACTACAAATCCTTCTCAAGGTGGGAGAATGAGTATGCAAGACACTTACTTCCTGAACAAAAGGGGAACAAGCCCTCCAATGATAGCAGTGGTTGCCTACTGGTAAATTGATAGACAATATAAAATTTGTTAAGTAACTTCTTCAGCGCTAAGTTACAGTTCATCATTGCACACAAAGATGATTCTCCAACCAATGAAGCTTTTTAGAAGAAAGCCACTGAAATAAATGGAAATCACTACCATGCCCTCTCTTATTTTCATTTCCATTAGGTGTTCTATTTACAACTCACTTATGCTGGATTACTCATGCTAGATGTAATTCTTTTCAGACATTCCACAAGAAACAAATGTTTTGCATTGCACATGCTGTTTTGCAATATGAAAATAATCAGTTATTGCTCTTCAACCAGGTGATACATTTTAATTTCAGAAAATAGTTTTAAACGTGTAAATCCAAACCAGACTGTTGATAATGCATATTGTATCATTTCTATGGGAAATTAAATCATCTGTTTAACACTGGCTTGGATATCTGTTCTGTTTTGTCTACTAAGTAATATGTTTGTCAATTTTTATTGCGAAGACCCTGGAGGTGCAATGGTTAAACCCTCATGCTGGCAGGACTGAAGACCGACAGGTTGCAGGTTTGAATCCAGGGAGAGTGTAGATGAGCTCCCTCTGTCAGCTCCAGCTCTCCATATGAGAATATGAAAATGCCTCCCACACGGATGGTAAAACATCAAAAACAGTTGGGTGTCCCCTGGGCAGTGTCCTTGCAGATGGCAAATTCTCTCACACAAGAAGCGACTTGGTTTCTCACGTTGCTCCTGACATGAAAAAAAATTGTCTTGAGGTCCCTAAAGATGGGCGCTCACTGCTTGTTTTGCTGCAACATCATTAATAGGTGTATACATAAGGAAAAAGGCAATGCTGTGTGTTTAGAAGTGTGTGTGTGTGTATGTGGCAGGAGGGTAAGACGTAGTTAATTACTAACTATAAGCGATATTTAGGGCAAATTTGTGTCTTTTTTTTAAATACATTCATCTCAAACCATTATGCATAGTTTGCATCCAATTTTACTGCAAAACCTTTGCCCATTAAACTTAATATGGAGGATTTGTCTAACCTTCTAAGGTCCCATCTACACTGATCATTTAATGCAGTTTCAAATTGATATTGAAGAAAATGGTTTCACTGTGCAGATGATTCCATAAGAAATCCTGAAACCAATCTGACAATTACACAGGACAATGATGTGCTTTAAAGGCTTTCTTTCATATGCTTTCATCAAAGTTTGTTATCTAGCCACCTTAGTTTGATGCTAGCTTCAAACTGCAATAAATTGTCAGTGTAGGAGCCTGTGTGTGCACAGGATGGCAGCCTTAAAGCCTAGTGCTGAGATGACACATTTGTATCACAATTATATTGCTTCAGCATCAGTGACATTGCTCTGTATTGAATTTTCAAAATCCACATACAGAGCTTCTCCTCTCCCCTTGAGATTTTTCATACCGACAACTTTTTGCATGGAGGTATTTCAGAGAAACTCTCCATCTGGATCCACCAGCGAGATGGTTATTAATATTGCAGTATGTTAATTTACTCCTGGCTTGTGTGCACTCTTGGATTTTTACCACCATGAAAGGCTCAGAAAACGTCATTTTGGGATTTTTTAAAAATGTTTTTTTCTAGTTTTTGTCTTGAGGAAACTTGATATTCTGATTTTTGAATGTATCCAAAGCATTATCTTTGTACCTCGCATAAATTAAGTCGTCTAGCAAGGCACAAACAGTAGGCAAATGAGCTGTATATACTTTTATATATGTTGAACTCACAAATAAGTCGATAGGTATGGAGGCTAAAATTATGGATGTTAATATGATCCATGGATGTTAAGGGTTGTTCTGCAGAGACAAGAAAACACCAGCCACCAAGACATATAAACAAGTTTTGAAGTGGCGCTGAAATGGAAAAAGTAGATGGAGTCAGTGCTTCTTTTAGGTTTCTTCCAGGACAGACTAAACTCTCTCCTTCCACCACTCAAAGAAGGGGATTGTTCCTTTTTTTTGATAAGAATTGACTTACATGATTGACCCACGAGAAGTCAACTAGGTTTTTACAGCTGCTTTTTTGGCTCAAATTGCTATTCATGAGTATATACAATATGTGACCTTATTAAAGTCAGACTACACTACAAATGAAAAAGCACACTACTTCAGAATTCACAGAGCGTTTATTAAGTGTTATCAAGCTTATTCAGCACCTTCAGGATGCAACTACTGATGGCTGTAAAGCACCCTTTTCCCTTTGTGTGAATCCACTCCTGCAAAGCAGATCAGAGGCACAGGTTTCTTTACTTGCAGGGAAAGATGGCTCTTTGAGATGGCAGGTATAGACCCTTGAAAAAGCTACACCTGTAATTACTGATTATGCGTGTCCGCTCTAGAGAACGTCAAGGTATAAAAACCATTTCATTCGACTGTATGTACAGAACATCTGTATGATAATAAATAAGTCATGACATTTATTAAAGCCTCTTCCTTTGCCCCTTCCCACCCACAAATGGTATATGGTTCCCTGGGACAAGCACCAGTGGCTTCACTGTGATTAGTAGTGTCAGAAACCCAGACTTCATGCCATGGTATCCCCATCTTCCTGCCCCTTTCTCAGTCCCAGTGAGGGCAGGAACTTCCCAGAAATTAGTGCTTCAACAGGCTCTGTAACAGATGGATGTACAGGGCAGAAAAAGGAAGGAGAGCAAAGGCTCCAAAGTGCATCCAATGTTTAACAGTATGAAAAGCACAGAACAAGTTCATGATGCTGTTCCACCAGGCAAAATTTAGACCTAGTTGGGAACATAAATGCAGCTTTTCTCAACTCTCAAGAAAGTGCTGCTTTGTGCCACTTATTCAAGAGACAGAATTATCAGCTCTTTGGGGGAAAGGCATTGTTTCCTCACCAGCCTCTTTTCTTCCAAGGCCAGCTGACCACCAAATTCAGTGCAAGTTTCAATTTTTTAAAGAGTTTCCTCTCCCTCTCCCCCTCCCTCACACACACCCTTACTGTAAGGAAGCATTTTGTTCATTATATAAACATCTGATACTTCTTGTGCTGTCTACATTCACAAAAGACCAGCAGTGAGGCGCCGTGTTTCACATTGGCGGAAGACACCACATCCACCTCTTCTTTTTTGGACGTATTTGCTCTTCATGATGCAGATTCTCCTTGGATGTTGCACACCTCAAATGTGCTTCATGTCCGTTTGCTGGGGCTGGATAAATGGTGGTTTGTGTTTGAATTCACTAGCCTGCTGGCAGCACAGTGTGTGTGGGCCATACCACCATTTGGATACCTGACAAAGGCAGGCTCACCAAAGGGGCTCTGGCACACCTGGCAGAGCTTTTTGTCCGAGAGAACAGTTGGGTTTTCTTTAAGTTTTACCTACAAACAAGAGAAATGAGACAACATGTAAACTGGTACAGGGTCAGCTAAGGATCTGCCATTTTTGAAGCCCATGTTACTATTCTTGCCTATTGCTTCCAATAAGGCATTTTTACTTGGATGTACACCAGAGCATTGAATTCCACCCAAAAATCGACAACACCAAGATTTTTTTTAAACAGGGAGCAAAATGAACACTAGTATTTCTGATTACATCATAAATAGGGAAAATGTCGGCCTCCAGACATTAGCAAAGAATCTTCACTGGGGAGATGTACTATAGTTCCACTTTCTAGGTTACATTTCCACTCACCCTCCAGGACCACCACACCCCCAAAGTCATTGAGAACAAAGACATCGCCCACCAAGATGCAATGATGGTAGTTGCAGACATCTTTTGTGCATTACCATTCTATGCTGTGCCTGAATGTTGTACCACTTGCTGGTCTTTGCACATTTATAACTGCAAAGTTGCCTATATGCAGTGCTCAGCATCTCACATTCATTTACTTTTAAAGAGCTGTACCAAACAAAGACCAATGTGAAGAGAAAGATACCATATTTTACCTCATAACCATCACAGGTTTTATGTAGATTTTTCTTGGACAAAACATGGGGTGCAACTATTACATGCTTTTGTTTTTTAAAATCCAGTATTACAGTACTTCACCATCATGCTTTTTAAATTACTTTCTTTAAGGGTAGCACCACACTTTCACTTGTATGACTTGTAGGGCCAGCTTCAACACAGCAGGTTAATCACCAGCTGCAGTAAATCTTGCCAACCAAAAGGTTGACAGTTCGAAGCTAGGTCAGGGTGGGCTCCTGACCTTTAGACCCGCTCCCCCACCCACTTAGCGGATCAAAAACAGCTATGTGAGTAGATGAATAGCAACCTCATTAAGCCGGGAGGTATTTTAGGCATGGTGTTCAGAGGAAAGTTTACAAAGAAAGCTCTTTGCCAAGGAGATGGAGCAAGAGTACCCCCCCCCCCCCATGGCTGGAACGGAGCACAGCCTCCACAGATGCCAAATGATAAGAAAAAACATATATATATATATATATATATATATATATATATATATATATATTTGTTGTTCATTCGTTCAGTCGTCTCCGACTCTTCGTGACCTCATGGACCAGCCCACGCCAGAGCTCCCTGTCGGCGGTTACCACCCCCAGCTCCCTCAAGGTCAGTCCAGTCACTTCAAGGATGCCATCCATCCATCTTGCCCTTGGTCGGCCCCTCTTCCTTTTGCCTTCCACTTTCCCCAGCATAATTGTCTTCTCTAGGCTTTCCTGACTCCCCATGATGTGACCAAAGTACTTCAACTTTGTCTCTAGTATCTTTCCCTCCAGTGAGCAGTCGGGCTTTATTTCCTGGAGGATGGACTGGTTGGATCTTCTCGCAGTCCAAGGCACTCTCAGAACTTTCCTCCAACACCACAGCTCAAAAGCATCGATCTTCCGTCACTCAGCCTTCCCCAAGGTCCAGCTCTCACATCCGTAGGTTACTACAGGGAATACCATGGCTTTGACTAGGCGGATCTTTGTTGCCAGTCTGATGTCTCTACTCTTTACTATTTTATCGAGATTGGACATTGCTCTCCTCCCAAGAAGTAAGCGTCTTCTGATTTCCTGGCTACAGTCTGCATCTGCAGTAATCTTTGCACCTAGAAATACAAAGTCTGTCACGGCCTCCACGGTTTCTCCCTCTATTTCCAGTTGTCAATCATTCTTGTTGCCATAATCTTGGTTTTTTTGACATTTAACTGCAACCCAGCTTTTGCGCTTTCTTCTTTCACCTTGATTAGAAGGCTCCTCAGCTCCTCCTCGCTTTCGGCCATCAGAGTGGTGTCATCTGCATATCTGAGGTTGTTAATGTTTCTTCCAGCAATTTTCACCCCAGCTTTGCATTCATCCAGCCCCGCACATCGCATGATTTGTTCTGCATACAAGTTAAAAAGGTTGGGTGAGAGGATGCAGCCTTGCCGTACGCCTTTCCCAATCTTGAACCAGTCTGTTGTTCCATGGTCAGTTCTGACTGTTGCTACTTGGTCCTTGTACAGATTCCTCAGGAGAGAGACAAGGTGCTTGGGATGCCCATCCCACTAAGAACTTGCCACAATTTATTATGATCCACACAGTCAAAGGCTTTAGAGTAGTCAATGAAGCAGAAGTAGATGTTTTTCTGAAACTCCCTGCCTTTCTCCATTATCCAGCGGATATTGGCAATCTGGTCTCTCGTTCCTCTGCCTTTTCTAAACCCAGCTTGAACATCTGGCAACTCTCGCTCCATGTATTGCTGGAGTCTTCCTTGCAGGATCTTGAGCATTACCTTACTGGCATGAGAAATAAGGGCCACTGTACGGAAGTTTGATCAGTCTTTCGCATTTCCCTTTTTTGGTATGGGGATATAAGTTGATTTTTTCCAGTCTGATGGCCATTCTTGTGTTTTCCATATTTGCTGGCAAATGGCATGCATCACCTTGACAGCATCATCTTTTAAGATTTTAAACAGTTCAGCTGGGATCCCGTCATCTCCTGCTGCCTTGTTGTTAGCAATGCTTCTTAAGGCCCATCAACCTCACTCCTCAGGATGTCTGGTTCTAATTCATTCACCACACCGTCAAAACTATCCTCAATATTATTATCCTTCCTATACAGATCTTCTGTATAGTCTCGCCACCTTCTCTTGATCTCTTCAGCTTCTGTTAGGTCCCTGCCATCTTTGTTTCTTATCATACCAATTTTTGCCTGACATTTACCTCCAATGTTTCTAATTTTCTGGAAGAGGTCTCTTGTCCTTCCTATTCTGTTGTCTTCTTCCACTTCCATGCATTGCTTATTTAAAAATAGTTCTTTATCTCTTCTGGCTAACCTCTGGAATTGCGCATTTAACTGGGCATATCTCCCCTTATCCCTGTTTCCTTTTGCTTTCCTCCTTTCTTGGGCTACTTCCAGTGTCTCAGCAGACAACCATTTTGCCTTCTTGGTTTTCTTTTTCTTTGGGACTTAATTTGTTGCCACCTCCTGAAAAATGTCGCGGACTTCTGTCCATAGTTCTTCTGGGACTCTGTTTACTAAATCTAGTCCTTCAAATCTGTTCTTCACTTCCACTGTATATTCGCTAGGAATGTTAGTGAGATCATATCTAACTGGTCTGTGTCTTTTCCCTGATCTCTTTAGTTTTATTCTAAATTGGGCAATAAGAAGTTCGTGATCTGAGCTACAGTCAGCCCCAGGTCTTGTTTTCACCGACTGGATGGATGTCCGCCCCCTTTGGCTGCAAAGGATGTAGTCAATCTGATTTCGGTGTTGACCGTCTGGTGAGGTCCATGTGTAAAGCCGTCTTTTAGGTTGTTGGAAGAGAGTATTCGTTATACACAGCGAGTTTTCCTGGCAAAATTCTATCAGCCTGCGTCCCGCTTCATTTTGTTCTCCCAGACCATGCTTGCCTGTGATCCCTGTTGTCATTTGACTTCCCACCTTGGCATTCCAGTCTCCTGTAATGAAAATAATGTCTCTTTTTGGTGTATTATCCAGTAGTTCCTGCAGATCCTCATAGAACTGATCTACTTCTGCTTCTTCAGCAGCTGTGGTTGGGGCGTATATTTGGATCACTGTAATGTTGAAAGGCTTTCCTTGCACTCGAATTGAGATCATTCTGTCATTTTTTGGGTTGTATCCAAGCACCGCTTTAGCGAATTTCTTATTAATTATGAAGGCTACTCCATTTCTTCGATGTTCCTCTTGTCCGCAGTAGTAGATCTGGTGGTCATCTGATGTGAAGTGGCCCATTCCAGTCCACTTCAGTTCGCTGAACCCCAGAATGTCTATCTTTAGTCTTGACATCTCGCCAATAACAACATCCAATTTGCCCTGGCTCATAGATCTTACATTCCAGGTTCCTATGGTGTGTTGATCTTTAGAGCATCGGATTCGTCGTTCACCTCCAGTACCGTCGGCCGCTAGCCTTCCTTTCGGCTTTGAGCTAGCTGCGTCATCACATTGGGGCTAGTTGAACTTATCCTCTGCTCCTCCCCAGTAGCATTTTGGCCATCTTCCGACCTGGGAGTCCCATCTTCCAATGGCATACCGACATATCTCTGGTTGTACTGGTCCATTTAGTTTTCTTGGCAAGGATACTGGAGTGGTTTGCCATTGCCTTCCCCAGGGATCACGCTTGGTCTGACCTCTGCCACAACCGTCCCGTCTTGGGTGGCCCTTCACGGTTTCGCTCATGACATCATTGAGGTGCTCAAGCTCCAGCGCCCCGACAAGGCGGTGATCCTTTGCTGGAGTATATATATATATATATTTATATATATTTATTGTATATATATTTATTGTATATATATTTATATATATATATATTTATATATATATATATATATTTATTGTGTGTGTGTGTGTGTATATATATATATATATATATATATATATATTTATTGACAATATTTATATTCCGCTCTTCTCACCCCAGAAGGGACTCAGAGCAGATCACAGAACACATATATGACAAACATCCAATGCCGATTATACAATGACAAGACAGAGAGCAGATATATATATATATATATATCTGCTCTCTGTCTTGTCATTGTATAATCGGCATTGGATGTTTGTCATATATGTGTTCTGTGATCTGCTCTGAGTCCCTTCTGGGGTGAGAAGAGCGGAATATAAATATTGTCAATAAATAAAATAAATAAATACTGTGAGTAGTGCAGACATGGACAGAATTAATTATCTATGCAATTATTATATGATGAAAGGCTAAAAAATAATTTTGAACTGAAAAAATAATGCAAGGATTATGCAGTGATGATTATGTAGTAAAATATGGTATTCAAAACCACCTAGACATTGCCTAAACATTCCATGAGATTCAGCAAGTTTTCAATGGCAACTTGTAATGGTAGTTTTAAAACTGAATTAAATGAAATAGGGCATTAATATACCAAGTATTTCCTTCAGAGAGATATTTGCCATGTTTTGTACTCTATACAGGAAACCAGGATGGAAGCCATGCTTCAGTAGGTTATCACTCGGTTGTGCTCCTTCCATCAGGAATCCAAATGTTCACTGAGATTATCCTAAGATTTCAGTATGTTCACACAAAGTCAGAGCAGTAGACTCACCTTTTCATGCTTATAGGCCAGATTCTCAGCTTTTGCTAAACCCACTGCAATCTGAGCCATCCTTTGTGCGTGAATGCTTTCCCTCATTGCACCGGTCAAAAAAGAGGAAAGGAGCTGCACTGACCAGCTGTCGGGAATCAGCTGCAAAACACACACAGCATCAAACTCAGCTGCATGGTTATTTAGAAGATCCACAGCAGCCATAGCCAGCTCATGATCTAATGTGCTGGAATTCAGATATGCCGAGAGCAGCATATGAAAAAGTTTCCGCCTGTAAGGAAGGTCTTTGCTCTCGGAATTCCAGGCGCAGTATTCCTCAGCAGTAGCAAAGTCCTTCAGTTCATGGACCAGGATATGTAAAGCTTTGTCGTGCTCTTCCAATTTTCCATATAATATTGCACACTCCATATGGAGATCTGTTCCGCTGATTTTATCTGCAAAAATAGTATGTTAACCACAGTCCTTGTCAATGCAAGAGAAGGATATATTTTCCATATCAGAATTATGTCTTTAAAAGACTAAACTCTAAAAAGTAACCCAAAAGATAAATGAAGGCAAAGGTTTCCAAAACTCATGTCACTTACACTTAGAATTCTGGTTTCACTATTATGCTTATGTACACAAACTCAAGGCATTTTCCTCATGTAAATGGATTTGGTAACTTTCAGAGCTATGAAAAGCTACTTTTCCAGACTATAGTCCCATAATCTTGCAGCCAGCATGGCTATGAAGCTGTGTTTTTAAAAAGTACCCTAGAGGATATGTGATTTCAATTTAGATTCTGTCTAATATTTTTTTCTCATCATTGGCAATCAATTTTATTTGCTCTCTTTAATGCAGGATTAAGAACAATGTTAGGAGGGCAAAGGACTTGGTTACAAGAAGGCCTTGCCAACTTTTACACAATTCTGAATCAATTATCACGCTAAGCTGGACATAGTTCCATATGCCAACCAAGATCATGTAATGTAATCAAGTTGCATTCAAATAGCATGCCCAATTCCTGCAATGTTCCTCATTCAAAAAAGTAGGGGAAGGATTTATTGACCAGGGAAACTGCTCAAGTAATATCCTACAATGGATGTCTTCTAATGGCTACATGACCTGCAACATGCTACGGGTTAGAATGAGATGGAGAAACTGAAGTCCTCCTGATGTTCTTGGGGTACCAACTAGATAGGACAAGGCTGGTAAATTCAACTATTATCAGTGGGAACAGAGGTCCCAAGTCTATTATTATTATTATTATTATTATTATTATTATTATTATTATTATTTACTGTATTTATATATCTTTCTCTCCCCTGGGGAGGGGGGAACTCAAAGCAGTTTACAACATGCTCATGCAAAAATTCAATGCCAACATACAATGCAATAATAATATGAAAATAATAATAATAACAACAACACAAACTATTATGTATCTCAAAAGATTAAATAAACAAACAATATAACATAATTTGTACATATTAATATAATGATATAAATGTAATAACATAATAGAAGCACTATGAAATATTATTAATAATAATAATAATAAAATAACAATATAAGAATTTGAATTGTTCGACAGCTGAGATAAATAATAATGTACATTATAACATAATATGAATATGGTATGATGTAAGTACAATATCAATATATATAAATATACATAATATTAATATAAAAGTTATAATAAATAATATAATATAAACCACTTTGCATCTCAAAGGGACAATTAAGTGAAAATGTGATATAATAAGAACATAATGTGAATATAACAATAATATAACATAATATAAATGTATTATGATGATGATGGGTTACTGGCTGAAGTAGTAAGTTATCCTGTTCAATTTATTTACCCTGCTAAACTCCAATTATCCCAATGAGAACGTGTCTTCCAATCATCCTGTGCACTCTTGCTTATTGTACACTGTCAGCTTGTACAACTAACATTCAATCCTTCCCTAACAGAGGAACTCTGAATATTTATGGTCTGCAAAAAGAGAAATAAGGGCTCTCCCATCACCTACTCTAAATTTAATTTTAGTTCTCTTACCTAAAATATAATGAACTCTATAAAGGTCAGATTTCCGCAGAAGATTGCGTAGTTTTGCCTGTGTTTTGGTCAATTCTTCGTATCTCTCTGCACACAGTGATTTCAGATGTAGCACCTCATCCAGGTATAACACAGCTAGATGGGTATGGAACTTCTCTTTCTATTAATGTAAGAGACATTCAGTCAGTTCTAAGATGCTCTCCATAATGTTCCATAGCCAATTTTTATTACTAGTTCTGCAAATCCGAATTACATCAAAAGGTTAATATGAAAGACAAATATAGACATATGCACAGGAAGTATTTGAAAAGGACTTTAGTAAGTTCAGTAATTAGAAATTCTTCCAATGCAGCAATATCCATGTGTTGTAAAATTAATGAAATTTCAAGAGCATATACATTAAAAAGTTATGTCTTTCACAATATTGTTGCAAGAGCCATAACTAAAATAATGCAAATCCAAAGATGTATACAATTAGCATTACAGTTTTGCTATCCTGTATCATTTTCACATTTCCCATTCAAATCCAGTGGTTTACCTAGGACAGGGTCTTCTTTGTTTTAAAATAAAAATGTAAATATGTACTTTTAAAGCATTTAAGTGTACATTTTTCTATTTTTGGAAAGACTATTTCATTCAAAGTATAATTCCATCATCTGTTGGATAGGAACAGCAATTCCTGGGAACATATGCTTTCTGTTATAAGTGAGATGGGAATAAGGACCTTTACATCCCTAGAATTAGTTCCCAACTGTCTGCTAGACTAACAGGAAGCGTTTGTGCTGCTGTATGCCAAATCATGAGACTGGTACACGTTGCAAGGAACCTGATCAGATCAGAGCTTGAAAAGGTTAGGCTATTTGATTAATGGCTCCCCAAATCCTCTGTCCGCCATGGCCACTCTGGGCATTTTAGTGCATAAGTAACTTTTCCCAAGTTCTGCATCCGATAGGAAAAATATAAAGAAACTAGGCAACACTGCACCCGATCCCAAAAGTTGTCCAAGGGTCATCCTTCATTCAGGACTGGCAAAAATCAATAATTAAGTAGGAAGGCTTTCCAATCTCAAGTAGACTAGAATTTTCTATTTAGTGCAGGGTGTAACTGCCACACCTCCAACAGAACACTACGTTTAACCATTTTCCCTTCAGCTAATTGATCTTCCAACAGCAAGTAATGAAGAGGTTGGTCCTATTTTAAAAACCAAAATAGCAGTCCTTTGTGCCAGAGTTACCTTTCAGTACTACTATATTCCTTTCTTGGGTAACTGGCCTACTGAAAACACATGTAAGCAAACAGGAGGGAATGAAAGAAGCACTGAAGGCCAAAAGTTACAGGTGAATTATCTGATCTATTCAAAAGTTCAGGGAGCCAAATATTACAAAATAGACAACAAAATCACACTTTTAATGTTATAGGACTCACCATAAACCCAACTTACTTTTATTCTTCTCTCCAGAACCAAAAATTCTAAATATTTTACTAATGATATGGGGTATTTCTTAAGGCAGCTGATGACATCATCGGGATTGAAACTGTTATTTGGTTCTTCTTCCAGAGGCCTTTTTGTGAAAATGTATACTCCAACCTAAAGAAAGATGCATTTAGAAAATTGTGAGGCATTCTGGAATGGCACACATTTCTAATCCTTAATATATTCAATATATTAATCCTTAATATATTCAAGATGATCAGATGCATCTAATCTTTTATAGTTCTATCCAATTACTGAAAGCATGATGCAGTAGCCACTATGTGACCACCCCACCCCCCTCCAAAAACAAAAAAGAACACACCTTAAGAAAAGCTTAAGATTCCATTACATATAATAGTACAATCTGGGAGGAACAGCAAAGTCACTATCACTCTCATTAAAAATATTGGCTAAATAAAATAAATCACGTATAACCCTTTTCTCTTGTCACTTAATGCATGACAAATTGTAAACAGAAAAATATCTGGCCCTTCAACCATTTTAAATTTCAGACGAACCAGTATGAACAATAAATATCCCAGAAGTCCAACCTCCAAAATATAAGAGGGCAAATGTTTATTCCATCCCTCTTCGAATGGATTTCTGTGGTACTCAAATAATTTCATTCAAAATTAGGCAAATGCTAGAAAGCTTTGGACATAGATGCTTCAGTTTTCCAGGTACAGAATAAAATCTCCCAGAAATATACCTTGAAAATAAGATGCAAGCTTGTACCCTACAAAAATTGAGATAATTTTAATGGCTATCCTTGGAAATGATTTCCTACCATCTGACTCGCTCTGTTTCATACTTGTTATTTTATGCATTTCTAGCAGGAAGAGCAAAATGCTGAAATTGTGTATGAACAGACTTAAAGGTTTCAGAAACCAAAAAAAGAACAGAACATAAAGGACTAACAACTTTAAATAAGGTATCCAAGCGACAGCAATCTCAAAAATAATTTCTTTAAAGAATCCAGTAACTAACCTCCTCGCTTCTCTGCAGGACCCATTCGGCATATTTCCACACCAATTCGTGGTCTGAGCAGGAGGTAAGGAAGTCTACAATATAATCGTAAAGGTCTGTGCGTGTGGAGTCTTGAATGTCTCCATTAACTATTTTTACCCATAACTGAAAGGCAGAAGAAATATAAAACCAATCAGGTTTAGTCCCCTGATAATTTATATACTGTATTTTCCTTGAGGTCACCATTTAATGGAAATACCAAAACCCTGTAAAGTTGGTATGCAGAAGCCAAAAAAAGGTGACATTTGTTAAAGAGCACTTAAGAGACGGTTCCAAGGGACGTTATACTTGAAAGAGATCTGACATCAAAATGGGATTCCCCATTCGGATGTCTTCCATCCTCACAGCCCTGATGTTGTGCCAGCTGCACTATATGCATTATAATGTTGCTGGGTTTGGCAAGGAAACTACTATTTGTGTCTAAAAATGATAGGGAGAAGGCCCCAGAGAACTCACCAGGGCCTGCCATTTTCTGCTAAGGTTCTCCAACCTTAATATAAAGCAATGGGACTAGTTTATCCCTGCATACTTACAACCTCCTAACTCTTCTCAAACTAATGGAAAACATAACCTCCATATAGTTTATCGCCTCATATTTTTGCTCAACTCCACTTTAAACAGATACAGTACTAGCACAATCAGTGTTGTTCATCATGCAGCATTTCAATATTTAGGATATGAAAAGTTTGCTTCTCCAGGTCACCCAACTAAAAGAACATATATATATATATATATATATATATGGGAATTTCTAAAAACTGATATTGTTACTTTTTTAAAAAAAAAACACAATACAAAATTAAGAGAAAGCATAAATATCAAGGGGCCAGTATGGTGTGGTGCACCGAGCTCTGGACTATGACTCTGGAGACCAAGTTTAAATCTTTACCATGAAAACTATGAGTAATCTTGGGCAAGCCAGTCTTTCTCAGAAAAAAGATAACGGCAAACATCTTCTGAACAAATCTTGGCAAGAAAACTCTGTGATAGGTTCACTTTAGGGTCTCCACAAGGTGAAAACCACTTGAAGGCACACAACAACATAAATACCAAGGGGAATTGGGGTGAGGTGTGTATGTGTCTTTCTTTGAGGGAACTTTCTGTTCCTTTCTCACATTTCCTCTTATTAGAAACAAATACGAAAAGATATACTAGGCAATATTCTGCTCACTTCTTTAAAAGGCAAGATTCATTTTCAGCATCCAGCTCATGAGTTCAGTGCTACCAGGATCAACAGTAAACCTATAAACACTTGCTAACATTGAGCTAATTGCTACAGATATCAGCTACAGACATGGACACAAAGGCCTCTTACAGAACTGATAATAGGCAAGCTACTGAGGTTTTTAATAGGCCTGTGCGGTTTCATTCGTTAATTCGTTAATAATTCGTTATTTTTGGCATTTCCGAAGCGATATCAAAACACATTTTCAAACCCGGAAGGGTTTAAAAATATCGAACCGGCAGCCCCCATAGATTTAACGAGCTTCCGCTCATTTTGTTAATGGGATGGAGGCTGCTGGTGGGAGCCAATCCGGCGCTCCCAAGCAGTGCACCGTGGCTGTTTTTGATTGGCCGGCGAGCCCTTTAAAAGCGGCTCCGCGCGGCCGTAGACTCATTGCTGCAGAGGGCGAGGGAGAGAGAAGAGGTCCGGGAGGGTTTGCATTGGGTTGGCTTGGCTTGGCTAGCAACTGGATTGAATTCATTCCTTGCTTGGATTCATTCCTTGCTGCTGTGAGTGCTGCTTATATTCCTTGCTTGGATTCATTACTTCCTTCGGTTTTTGTGAATTTGTTTCTTAATTTTTTGGTTAATTTTCCATTTTTAAATATTTTTTAATATTATTTTTTAATATTATTTTAATATTATTCTTAAAAAATATTCTAAAAAAGAAAAGACTCTTCTGTTGGTGTGTGCTCTCATTTGCTGTCTCCTGCCTGTGTTTGGTCCACATTTGGGCCATTTTTTGGTTAATTTTCCATTTTAAAATATTTTTTAATATTATTTTTAATATTATTTTTTAATATTATTTTAATATTATTCTTAAAAAATATTCTAAAAAAGAAAAGACTCTTCTGTTGGTGTGTGCTCTCATTTGCTGTCTCCTGCCTGTGTTTGGTCCACATTTGGGCCATTTTTTGGTTAATTTTCCATTTTAAAATATTTTTTAATATTATTTTAATATTATTCTTAAAAAATACAAAAAATATTCTAAAATTCGTTAATATTTACGAAATTTCGTAAATACCAAAACTTTTTTGGGGGAAAGTTTTGTAATTATTTTAAATATCGAAACAAAAAAACACCCCAATTACAAATCGATTTTAGAAACAAATTTTTTCTTGATCAAACAGGCCTAGTTTTTAAATGATCACTTTCTCCTACTATATGAGGTATTTTTACAGTTACAAAGAAGTAGCCGCAACAACACAGTACATCTAGATACAAATAATAGCGAGCAACTAAATCAAGAAGAATGAACCCAGGATGGGATAAGGATCTATTGTACAGATACACTGAGGGAACTAGGAGATTTTTAAAATGACAAAAGACCATAAGTCCACCCTCTTTCCATTACCGTAGCTATCTACCTGGACATTGACAGCAACAGATTTACCAGTTTTAAATTCATAAACATGTGGTAATTTCTAGTGGCCTAAACTAGCTTCTGTTCACAAGGAAGCATTTACATGTTGTTGTGACTTCCTGGACACATGGTGGCACTCTAACCTGTAGTGCAGCAGCATCCTGACTGTTTGAGTGATACAGGAGCCCAAGTGCAAAATATCTGTAAAAGAAAAAAAGAAGAACAAATTAAAAGGGAAATGACTAGAAATATTATTTAGTGTTTGCAAAACAATGTGCACAACTAACATGATTGGTAGTTTCTATAAATGCTCAAATGTTCCATGTGACAGTTTTATATTATTTCTATTTTATATGCGCAGACGCAAATCACATTTCTGCTTTCTGCAAAATGATACAAGATAAAATTAGAATCCAATGATCAAAGATTCTAAACTAATGCTTTGATAGTCCTGTTTTAAAACTATCCAACAGGAGTGATTGTCTGGTGGAGCTAAATCTGCCCCTTCATCCTCTGAAAACAGAAACATAGTATTGCCTGTCAAATCAATAAACAAACAAATATTTTGGTTGTATTCTTGTTCTGACAGCTAATAGGAAAACAACGGAAAGACTAAAACCATCAGCTCTGGGTTGAATGTAAGATGAGAAGATCATGGCCTGGACACAAAAGTCTTAGCATCTTATACAACTGCATATATTTGTTAGTTGTATTTCCTCCAATTAGCTCAAGTCAAGACAAAGACAGTATATATGACTCTTCTCTTCCCTCTCTATTTTCACAGCAAGGTCAGGCTGAGTGACTGGCCTAAAGTCACCCAAAGAACTCCATGGCTTACCGAGGACCTAGAATATCTCCCAATTCCCAGCTAAATACCTAACTATTATCCGACTAATCCCAGCAATCTGCCCAAAAGTGCTCGTGATATGGTAAACTGCTTTCTTTTTGATAGCAGATCAAAACAATTTGGTTTCTGCTATCATATTACTGTAGAAGGATTTTTTAAAAAAAATCTAGTGTGATGTGTTTTATCTCTTAAAAATAAAATGGGCACAATTTCTACAGATAAGTGAAGCACCTAAATCCTAATATTGTTTTAAAGGCACACTGGCTCCGGGTTCATCATGTCAAAGACTGAACAGAAGAAATACCTAGCACTCTACAGACATTACACTGTATGCTCCAGGGACAATAAGCTTACTTTTTGTGCTTCTCCAGGCACGCAGCGCTATCTGTGAGAAGGCAGGAATTTTCTGAGACCAGCAGATCTAGAAGGCTTTCATGATTAGATTCTGCATAGAGCTTCAACAGAGCTGTGTCAATGTCTTCCTTGTAGCCATTTGCAACTTCAGTGCTGCGCACCTCGCTCAAGTAGCTCATGAGAAACTGCTTGCACTTTACCATCTTCTCCTGGTCCCCCTGCGTCAGCTGGTTTAAGTCAGCATATTCATGGAGGGGAGGGTGGGATCGCATGAATGAAGAGGAAGTAGGCAACAGGAAGGGGTAGAGAGAGATCAGCTCCCGGACATCGAGCTGGCCGCTTCTGCAATTACAGTGTCAAACTAGATGAAGCAAAGAGAAAAGACACATGGGCACGCACCACATAATGTGTGTGTGTGTGCACATCCAGAGGATATAGAGCTTTGTGCAACTATTCAAGATAATTAAACAGTGATATCACTACCACTTGGGATAGTTTTGCAGTCTGTGAAGCCCGTAAAGGCAGAGAATGGCACCTGGATCTGTAAAAGCTGGCTACCCCATCTCATGCACTTTGTGCTCTACATATATATGCATGCATACATTTCACATATATATCTCAGGGATGATACTACAAGTTCATAATTACCTGTCTCAATATACCAGATTGTTGACTAAACAATACACTTCAGGAACATTTGAGCCCTCTTGCTACAATATCCATGTTTGCTGCTATTTCATTTGTGCATTTGGCAACCAAACTTAAAACCACCACTTCCAGAGGTGTATAAAATATTGAGCATGTATACTAGGCCTGTGCGGTTTCGTTCGTTAATTTCGTAATTCGTTATTAATTCGTTAATTTTAGCATTTACGAAGCGATATCAAAACACATTTTCAAACCCGGAAGGGTTTAAAAATATCGAACCGGCAGCCCCCATAGATTTAACGAGCTTCCGCTCGTTTCGTTAATGGGATGGAGGCTGCTGGTGCCTGGGAGCCAATCCGGCGCTCCCAAGCACCCAAGCAGTGCACCGTGGCTGCTTTTGATTGGCCGGCGAGCCCTTTAAAAGCGGCTCCGCGCGGCCGTACAGCTGAGCTCATTGCTGCAGAGGGCGAGGGAGAGAGAAGAGGTCCGGGAGGGTTTGCATTGGGTTGGCTTGGCTTGGCTAGCAACTGGATTGGATTCATTCCTTGCTCATTCCTTGGATTCATTCCTTGCTGCTGTGCTTAGTGCTGCTTATATTCCTTGCTTGGATTCGTTACTTCCTTCGGTTTTTGTGAATTTGTTTCTTAATTTTCCATTTTTAAATATTTTTTAATATTATTTTTTAATATTATTTTAATTATTATTTTTTAATATTTTTAATTATTATTAAATATTATTATTTAATATTATTTTAATGTTGCTGTGTGCTCTCATTTGCTGTCTCCTGCCTGTGTTTGGTCCACATCAGGGCCATTTTTTGGTTCAGTTTCCATTTTTGAATATTTTTTTAATATTATTTTTTAATATTATTTTAATATTATTCTTAAAAAATACAAAAAATATTCTAAAAAAGAAAAGACTCTTCTGTTGGTGTGTGCTCTCGTTTGCCCTGTCTCGTGGCTGTGTTTGGTCCACATCAGGGCCAGTTTTTGGTTAATTTTCCATTTTTGAATATTTTCTAAAAATACCTGTCTTTTATTCTTAAAAAAAACAAAAAATATTCTAAAAAAAGAAAAGACTCTTCTGTTGGTGTGTGCTCTCGTTTGTCCTGTCTCGTGGCTGTGTTTGGTCCACATCAGGGCCAGTTTTTGGTTAATTTTCCATTTCTGAATATTTTCTAAAAATACCTGCCTTTTATTCCTAAAAAATACAAAAAATATTCTAAAAAAGAAAAGACTCTTCTGTTGGTGTGTGCTCTCGTTTGCCCTGTCTCGTGGCTGTGTTTGGTCCACATCAGGGCCAGTTTTTGGTTAATTTTCCATTTTTGAATATTTTTTAAAAATACCTGTGTTTTATTCATAAAAAAATAACAAAAAATATTCTAAAAAAAAAAAAGCCTTCTGTTGGTTTGTGCTCTCCATTGCCTTGTCTCCTGCCTGTGTTAGCTCTACATCAGGGCCAGTTTTTGGTCAATTTTCCATTTCTGAACATTATCTGAAAATACCTGTGTTTTATTCATAAAAAATACAAAAAATATTCCAAAAAAAGAAAAGACTCTTCTGTTGGTGTGTGCTTTGCAATATCGGAGATCGAATCCCGTATTAATGAATGTTTAATGGTGAATCATCGTATTTAATAACGACGTTTCGGAAGCCGCTTTTGCGCATGCGCGATCGCGTCTGCCATTTTAACGAATCGATTCGTTATATCCTTAACGAATCGACCCCGCGCCAATAACGAAGCTTCGGAAGTGATTTTGCGCATGCGCGGGGGTCCGCCATCTTTACAAAATGTTTTGTAAATATTTACGAAATTTCGTAAATACCGAAACTTTTTTTGGGGAAAGTTTTGTAATTATTTTAAATATCGAAACAAAAAAACACCCCAATTACAAATCGATTTTAGAAAAAAAAATTTGCGTTGTTACCCAGGCCTAGTATTAATGTATACAATACTAAAAAAATGTTATGTGCCAATATTACACACAGACCAGCACAGAACACCTGGGAAAAACAACTTACCGTATATTCCGGGGTATAAAACGACGGGGGCTATAAGATGACCTCTCAATTTCAGCAGTCAAAATATAGTATTGGGGATATATTTGCCGTTTAAGACAAGTCCCCAGTCCAGCGCTTCTCACCAGCCTGGACAGGAAGAAGAGTCTCCGGCACTCCTCCTCTGCCTCCTCCTCCTTTGCTGCCTTGGCACATGGCAGCCTCCTGGTCAGGCTCCCTGTCGCTTGTCTCTTCATGGCTGCCACGCTAGTCAGGCCGTTCTCATTCTTCCTGGGCAGGTCTCGCGAGAAGCGCCTCTTCTCCCGCGAGACACCGTTGTCTCGCGGGAGAAGAGGCACTTCTCGTGAGACCTGCCCGAGTAGAACGAAAACGGCCTGTGCAGAAGGGCTTTCTGCGCTGGTCAGGCCGCTCGCCTTCTTCCTGTCCAGGTCTCGCGAGACGGACAGGAAGAAGGCGAGCAGCCTGACCAGCACGGAAAGCCCTTCTTCGCAGGCCGCTCTCGTTCCTCCCGGGCAGGTCTCGTGAGAAGTGCCTTTTCTCCCGCGAGACAACGGTGTCTCGCGGGAGAAGAGGCGCTTCTCGCGAGACCTGCCTGGGAAGAACGAGAGCGGCCTGACTAGCGTGGCAGCCATAAAGAGACGAGTGACAGGGAGCCTGACCAGGAGGCTGCCATGTGCCAAGGCAGCAAAGGAGGAGGAGGCGGAGGAGGAGGAGGAGGGGAGGGGAGCCCGGGGCCAAGGTATCCACCCCAAAAGGCTCTACCGGTACTTTTTGATTATTTTATTTTTATACCCGGGGTACTAGACGACCCCCAAAATTTTATAAGGATTTATATGCCTAAAAAGTCATCTAGTACCCCGGTTTTTACGGTACTTCCCCCTCTAAATGCTTGCCAAAAACACTAAGTATTAAGCTGATTCTAAGCCAGGTCTGTGAAATGAGTCACATCAAAGGAGCAACAAGAAATGCCCCTGGGCAGAAATGGTAGACTCACTGCCTTTACACACATCTCAGTATACTAGAATTAAAGTGTCCATCAAAAGAAGTTGATTTGTTCAACCATACCAAGAAGTGTGATTCTAATTTAGCTTCTGTCCACTGTCTGAAACTATATCTTTTAAATATTTCACCCTGGTCATATCAAAATATCTCATAACTTGAGATCTTTGAAGGTCAAGTACATGGATTTAATCAACACTCAATTAAACACTTGGAGTATTTCTCATCCCATATGAAAGGCTACCTGAAGAGTTCTTTCGCTTCGAGGAACTGAAGCTGTGCAAACTGTATAAATCCTGCTTGCTGCAAGATTCGCTTATACATTGCCTAAAAAGAGATAAAACCAAAACAAACAAAAACAATCAATACGTGCAAACCATTTGCCAATGCACTACTTGTGTCCCACTGAAATGAGGAATAATACAGAACTGGGCTACCCAGTTTCATCTGTACACATTTTGCATGATTTTACACAATATACATCAACAGGCAGTTGGAAAAGACCAACAGGTAATTGTGCAACTGAAAAGCAAGCCATGTTGCAAGCCATCAATCTTAGCCATGATTTAGTGGACTAAGAAAGGATGAAAAATACAGCATAGGAAGAAATCTAAAAAAAAAACAACAATTTTCTAGACTGTAATTCCAAAGAAATCACAAACTTCAGTAGTATCTATACAAATGCAAGCAATGCATGTAAAAAAGGGACTAAGCAGCATAAGTGCACACATATTCATTTTATGCCAGGATAAAACTAGGAAGAAATATGATAAATGACATACACAATTATTTAAATCATCATTACTTATGTGCCGAGTAGAATCTCATGCACATATATTTGTCTTGCCTAAATGTTAACTTAACTTTGTCTAACCACAGGCAATATAAAGTTATAGATATATTAATACAGCACAGCCAAATTTTCTACTTTATAAGTATTCAAAAGTCCTGACAGATTGCACTGATTTATCTACAAACATTTTTGAAAACTTCTTCCATTTATCAGTAATTAATTTTGCGTGGAGACTATATATTATCATTACAGCCTCCGTACCTACACCAGAAGCATATTGCATTTATTATTCATCTATAGTTGACTGCAGAGCTAATTCAGAAACCAGTTCCACTGAGTTCCCTCTTCCCTCAACTGTCTTCATTCAAGCGGCCAGTTTTCAGAAATGTGTAGCTTTAAGAACTGCAATCAAAGTTTGCTTCTTCACCTCCTCTCTCCGGATCCTTTTCTTTTTAAGTTGCTGTGCTTTTAAGTCCTCCAGACATAAACTGTGTTTTTATTATTGATCCTATATAAACCACCTGGGATGCCTTTTCAGCAGAAAAACAAGGCAACAATACAGATTTAGAGGAGACAGTGGAGAGCAGGAATTGCTAAATGGCACCTATCACCCTTGGTTACACAGTCAAATCCTCCAATTGTTAGAGGAACTCTAGCTAGAAAGCACTTAAGGCACAAAACATGCATTAAACAATAAAATATTTTAGATACGTGTTTGTCATCAGCTCCTGAATTTGCAACATTACCAGGCCCACCTGGCAGCTAGAGCACATTAAGTCAATGGAACTGATTTCAACATTTAGATCAACATTACAGAAGATATGTGTCATTCTATCAATTTCTCCAATAGAAAATGCAAATATATTAGAGCTGCTTATTTCACCCAGAATTTTGCAGCTACTGTCTTAGGGCTCCTCCAGACAGGCCCTATATCCCAGGATCTGATCCCAGATTTTCTGCTTTAAACTGGATTATATGAGTACATACTGCCAGACAATCTGGGATAAACAGAAAACTGCGATCAGATCCTGGGATATAAGGCAAGTCTGGAAGTGCCCTTAACCATCTAACTCAGCTCTCCAGAATTTCAAGCCGCAGTAATATATGATCAGACATATTAATATAAAACTTCGTCTTCACAGCTTGCTTGCTACTCAGCCATCTTCACACAGCCAGATATATTTTAAATACTAGCACAGACCTGAAATTTCTCTTTTGGAATATTTCTTCGGGCTCCCTTTGCTAATACTAGCGCTTCTTCCACTCTCTGACTGGCCAAAAGATCCTGAATCTGTTTTTCCAGAGGTAGTGGTACCAAGATGAACACCCCTTTGGTGGTTGCTACAATTACTTTGCCTGGAATATTTAAAAGAAGAAGAAAACAGAATGTCCTTTATTCATTTTATACCTTACCAAATAATGTTTTCAAAATAAGTCTGACAGAATAAGTCAGTGAGATTCATATACTGAACACTTTTTAAAGGGAAAAAATACATTCTTTCAAATCCAATACAACCCAACAGTTTCTATTATACAAAGACTAGAACTGCAGCACCAAATATTGCAAAAATCATTTTACTATATGAGATGGAATAACCTGGTTCAAATATCACTATGCATCCAGAGAGCGCCAGGCTGGAGATGACAGGTGAAAATATAAAAGTGTTCACTGGAAATCTCAAGTTAAATTAATCAAATGTGGAAGTAGGAGCTACAGCTAAAGCAGATCATTGAAACAGATCAATATCCTTTACAGAAATCAGATCTTCCACTTTAGAACTTTGACTAAAACTCTTCCAACATAGGAGCAAAGAGTTGGAAAGGACTGTAAGAGGTAACTATTCCAACTCCCTGCTATTTAGGAATATACAACTAAAGCATTCCTGAAATATTACCATCTAGCCTGTATTTAAAGGCCCCCAAAGAAGGAGAGATCCACTGCTCAGCAGCTCTTATAATAAATGTTAAGGTGGAATGCTTTTTCTTGTAATTTATTTTGTGTCCTATTCTCTGGGAGACTCAAAATAACAAGCTCCCTCCATCTTCTATAAGACACGTATTTGCTTGGAATATCACTATTATCCCTCAAACTTCTTCAAGCTTAACATACCCAGTTCCCTAAGCCTTTCCACAGAGAACTAGGCTTCCATTTTGGACACCCTCCCCATTCTGGGTAGTTAGGCTTGTACATATTAGATTTCAAGATTGCTGAGAGTCATATGTTATCACAGCTGAATGCAAACAACGTATAACTATATTTTCTATATTAGTGAAGTTTTTGTGAACATAGTTAGACAGCCATTAATATTATCACAAGCTCCTTGAATGATGGGATATAAATGCAATTAATAAATGAATATATAAAAATCCAAGAGCTCACAAGTTTCTATAAACTGTCCACATACACAAGTACTTGCTGATGCTTCCACAAAGACATTTTCCCTTCCAGTTTGAGGAAATGAAAGTTCAGATTTGCTGATGTTTTCCACTTATGTTTACAATTTTATTAGCTGCCTTTCCATGGAACAGTCAGTTTAAAGCACCACTTTCACAAAGTTCTCAAAGAGTTCGAACATTTAAAAGACTTCCAACAATTTTCTTAACACACACTGCTTCCTTTTGAACCTATGATGGGTTTGTTAGATTTGACAACAATGACATCTAAAAGTTGCCTTTTACTAGCAGAAGGCATCTTTCACTCAAAGAACATCAAACTCTGACCTAGCAGAATCAGTTTTGTGCCAGAAAACCGACACCAAATCCAGGTAATTCCTTCTATTTATTAAAGCACTCCATCAAGAACTTTTCATAGCCCATAGATGTTTAAGCCACTAGCAGGATGACTCCCAATATCTGCAAATAGGATTCCATAATGTGTATTAAGTGTTTAAAATAGACACTTCTGGATTTGAACGAATCTGGAAAGTGTAAGGATTTGTCCAACAAAGTGTAAAAGAAAGGTACTAAAAGGGAGGTTTTTCAGTACAATACAGGTTCTTCCAACCTTGAGAAGCTAATAATTATTCCATCCCTATGGTTTAGACCAATAGAGCAACTATGAAAGCACCTCACTCCCAATTTCAGTGGTGTTTTCTGCAGGCTGCAAGCTAAAAGAAAAGGAAAGAAAAGGAGGGAAGAAAAGAAAGTAGCCTTGAAACTTTTGTGTGGAAATAGCTTCCATCCCATTTTTAGTTGAGGACATGGGAAACCCTGAATCCTGTTTTTGATTAAAACCATGCTCATGGAAGCATCCCTGGAAGACTGTCACACTACACCATCAACATGCTGCTATCCCACTTTAAATTCCATTGCTGCCTCCTGTTGGATCCTGAAATTTGCAGTTTTGGGAGTGGCCTTTAAAATTCTAAGCCAGAGAACTCCCGGGCCTCACTAAACTACAAACCCCAGAATTCCAAAGGAGGCAGCCATAGGATTTAAGGTGGGATAGCAGTGGTTTCACGTGTAGTGTGACAATCTATCAGGAATCAGGGGAAATGGGCCCTTAAAGATAAAAAAAACAAACAAACATTGACTCTTACTCATTGCTGCCAGGCATATTTTATGTCTTCTGAAATTATATGAACCACATACATTTACTTAAACATTTCATGCACTGTAAACATGCACCTCACACAATTTATCATATGCACAGCATTTCCTCAGCTCAGACTACCAACAGTACTATTGAACCTGTCCAATATAAACATTCAGTCCAAAGGAATATGCCTGTCTAATGCATAAAGGTCAAAGTAGTATGGCTATTGGAGTAAAACAAAACTTAATTTGGAAACGCTGATTAACAGGGAATCCTTAATAGCTTCCTTTTTGTATTTGGAAAACATTTAAATTTTCTCCAAAGCATTTATTTAAAAATAAAACACATAGAATATATGTTGTGTGCATGCACACATACATACATATGTAATCTAAATAAGAAAAGAATGGATAAAAGTTGTCACTAATAAACAAACAAAGCTTCACAAATTACTGTATTTAATTCTAAGACACCACTGATTCTAAGACACATTAATTTCAGTATCACCAACAGAAAAATGGTTTATATATAAAAAGCACCCACAATTCTAAGACGCACCCTATTTTTCAAGATACTTATGGTATATGGGGGAAAGGTGCATCTTGAAATCGATGAAATATAATAATCAAACAGTACCTTCAAAGTCTTGTAGGATATGGCCATCCTTAAAGGGTAGTGTCTGTTTTTGCTGTTGGTCCAACATACTGTGTACTGTAATGAACTCTTCATCCAAAGCAACCACATAAGGAAAGCAAAGGGAAGCACCAATCACATTTTCCGACCAGTGGACAGGAGCACGCTGGGAAATGCCATCAACAGTGGCAAACATACCTTAAAAATTAGAAATAGAAGTCGAGAGAGAAATGCATCATATCACTAGCTAACTGCCTGCATTTTTGCACTGTATGAATGAACATTCTAGAAAGACCTTTCCCATCTCTGGGAATAAGAAAAAAACTATAATAAATCAACAACTTGCTGTTATCCCAGGCAACTGCCTCCCACTATCTAATGGTAGGGGAAACCCTATAGATCTATCAATGTTCACATTTTACCGGCGCATGTTTCATTAGACCAGGAAGAAAGGCTGAACTACAGAGAAGGCAAATGTGTTTCAAATGGGGATGCAATGCTCATGGCAATCTTACCTAGTCCTCCAGGCCCAGCCAACAGGAACTCTTGTCTGCCTATTCTTTTCACAATTGGCCGCCTCTCTTCGACAGAATAAGGAAACAGATCCTGGGAGACTCCAGTGTTGTAATTGAATATAATGTACTGAGTGGTCAGGGCAAGGCATAAATAGTGGCCATCTACAGCCACAGCGCAGGGCTGCTCCTGAGTGGAAACCTCCTTCACAATCTGGACTCTGTCTTCATAAACCAAGAACAGCTGAATGGTCCTCCGTTTGACGGAAAGTATACAAACTTCAACACAAAACGGGTCCCCGCTCACAGGGTTTTCATTCAAGGTGAATGTCACAGCTCCCTTGATGCGGGCTCCAGTAGGGATGGGTTCCAGGTTCATCATGTTCATCAATGTTATAGTATTATCACAAAGTACAAGCAGGCGATTAAGAGCTGAAGCTGCTTTCAATTCTCCCACAGCCTTCCGGAAGCCTAAGTTTTTATGCAGCTGCTTGGTGACAGAAAATGTTGCTTTCTCTGCTGGTGAATTTTTTTCCTCCAAGAGGAAGTGCCAGATAGACCCATCATTGGTGCCAATGTAAAGGTTCCTTCCACAGCACTCAATGCATTCAATATTGATCCGAGCTTTGTCACCCATCAGCATTTCCCGGTCGACTACGGGGACAAGCTTGAAGGCCTTGACACTCATTGCGCTTTCCAGATGCCCTGCCAAGCAAACAAGAAAGAAAGTATCTTTAGTCACATTCGGGCCAAAAAGATAATAAATTGGGTGGGAGAGTTAGAGGTTTAGATTCTTAGATCATCTATAATTCCCCAAAAGCTGTGAATAAAATACAATACAAAAACAATAAGACAACAGATTAAGCAATTCGACAATAAATTAAATAATTAAGAACAAACCGACAGCCATTGTACAATTAAGGGAGACAAAACACACACACACACACACTGTCTGGGGAACACATGTGGCAATAACATCACTTTAAGTAAGTGTTCAAACAGTTTCACATGAATGGTAACTTTGACTGAGGGTGCATGTATACTATAGAATTAATGCAGTTTGAGACTACTTTATCTGCCATAGCTCAATGCTACTGGAATCATGGGAGCTGTCATCTTTACAAAACAGCAGTTCCCTGCCAAAAAGTGCTGGTACCGTACCAAACGACCACTCCTATAATTCCATAAGATTGAACCATGACAGCTGAAGTGGTGTCAAACTCCATTATTTTACAGTGTAGATACATCCTAAATCACATAAATGCCACTAGTGTGGCCTCAGAGGGAGAGAAGTAGAGACAGACACAGTGCCACCATCCCTTGGTCCAAAAGCAGACACCTTGATTGTGCTTCTCCTGCATTATTTATTTATTATTTAGGGTATTTTTACCCCACCCTTTTCAACCCCCTAGGGGGGACTCAGGGCGGCTTCCAGCCGGCACATATTCAATGCCTACAATTAAACACAATAAAATACACAACAAACAGCAATTATAAATAATTAAAACATTGAGTTAATACAATAAAATCTACTAGAAAAGAAGCCAGCCTGGTGGCCAGGTGCATAGCAAGGGGTTGGACTGGATGGCCCTTGTGGTCTCTTCCAACTCTTTGCTTCTATCACCATTCATCCAACTACCTCTGCCATGGTTTCAGAAAGAAATAAGAGGTAGTATCTGCAGGATTTAATCACTTCCCACACTAGCACTTCAATTTCCTTTTGTGCCATGTCATAATTAGATTGTCATCTCAAAGGCAAAGTGTCATGTACAGTGATGGCACTACATAGATTAATGATAATAGTAAGAATGAAGTTCCACAGTCAGACAGCATTCTTTTGATTGTTAGTCATCCAATGAAGTTCCCAATTCAACTAATATGTCCTTGCCTTTCTGTCCAAGCAATTAAGTGCAGCCCTAAAATGACCCAGCAGTACTTTAATGTGACATGTAATCTGGTATCATCTGCCACAAGCCCCAAACATGCCAGTTCAACAGAACTGCATCACATCCCTATTTACACACTGATGTGGACTAGAACTTGTGCTCTATATAAAACATGAATAATACAAACAGAAGCTTTTACAGATAGAATGCAGTACAATTAAAAGACTGCTGCCTTCATTTCTTTGCTGTGGGCTTCATAGAAACATCATGTGGCCCTGGTTCAGCTCAGCTCCAATTTTGATTTTCTAACATGATAAATAACCGGCACTCTATACCTGGCATATGTCCACAGTAACCATATGTCAGAGATATTTAACACATTTTAGCAGCTTTCTCAGAAGTAATTTCCACTGCATTCAATCAGGCTTACTCCATAATAAATTCAGGACCACAATCTCAATCTGGCAAGAACATTGGTTTAATCATCACAAAACTTTGGTGATTTGTACTGTTTTCTTTAGCAACTTCAAAACATTAGAGCATAAGATGCAATCACTCATTGCAATCATATAAAAAAATTAGGGACCAATTCTTACTTGGAAGGGAATATGCGAGTGATATATTTCAATTGAAATTTGCATTAATGGGCTTTGAAAGTTCATCTAAATTATATGATTCAATCTGTATAGATTGATTAATTAAGCAATTTTAAAAACATTTCTTTTACTGCAATAATGAAATCTATATTCTTATTCATATTTTAAATAAGCACACAGATTACTCACTCAATAAACGCTTTGTTTTCTCCCAAACTAAATACAGTATGACCTGATACCATCTTGAACATATTACGAAAACAGAAAACTTTGAAAAATAAAGAACCCTATTGAAATGAGTAATTTTCTGAGGGAGTCACATTGGAGGACCTAAAAGGTTCTTAGAAAGGAATCCTTTCTAGGAATTTGCTAGTTTTTCCAGTATGAACGTTTTCCCAATAATAACTACCAGCATGAATACACCACAGAATTGGATGGAAGTCCTAGAAAATTACTAGAGATAACACATTTTGTCAGATGAGGGTAAATGAAATTACATGAACTGGTCTCACTGGTATGACAGTCAAAAAATCCCAATTATCTCAACAGGATTTAAAGAACCAAAGCTTGATTGTTGATGCATCAATGGGACTCAAGAAATGGGTAAGAAAAATCTTATTCCATTCACAAGGCTTTCTTTTAGCCTATTATTTTAGTGTTAGCCCACTCGGAATCTACTTTTTTACAGGTTGTTGCCAAGATTGCTATTAATGTTTAACTTCTTGGATCATGTGCAAAATACAGAAATACTCTTATGATTACGGTACTAATTTGTATACTGAGGGTTGATTATTCGAATCTTGAAAATGTAACAATGACTAGAGATTTTTAAAAAGCAGAACAAGTAAATGTTACCACATACACACACTAACGACAAAGTGATTAATCTGCAATTGTGAAATTCAACATGTTTGTTCCTCCCATAAGAATTCCTGTTAAACAGAATAAAACTACAGCACCTTCCTTAAGTTAGAAATTATGTCATGCTTTCCAAAAGTGTTAAGTGTAGTTCGCTTGACAAAAGCACAGTTTCACAGATCATTGATTCAGGACATTGCTATTTACTATCTGTTAGAAGCAGAAACAGAGACGGTTGTGAATGTCATGACTTTCCATACTGGTCTATTGTCAACATTTTCAGAAGGATAGTACTGCTTTCTGTTCCCAAAGTTGAAGACAGAATATGTGCATGGGCTATGCCACTTCTCTTGGACTTTCAAAACAAAGATTGTGGCATTTTCCAATCCATTCCAACTTTTCCAATCAATACAGTAAGTTCTTCTCCACTGGCATCTCAACAGGCATTTAGAATTGAGATAATATAAGTTCCTTGGTTACTTATTACTACACTTGTTTGCCTATATAGTGCCAGCAATGTGTATAACATTTCACAAATAAAACAACCAAAAAAAAAACATAGCTCCTGTCAAACATGTACAACTCAATATTGCTTGATTTTTGGATTTTAAAAAATATTTCCAAGGTATGGATAGTAGGATCTGTGGATGCAGAATCCGCGGATACAGAGGGCCAACTGAAGTATTACCTCCCAAGCTCTGCTGTTCCAGGTATTTTGAACTTTGGCACTCCGGTTGGATCTACACCGCCACATAATCCAATTATAAAAGCATATAATTCAGATTATCTGCTTTGGACTGGGTTATATGAGTCTACACTGCCATATAATCCAGTTAAAAACAGATAATCTGTATTTGGAAGTGGAGATAGGGACTAAGAATCCCTGTTCATTACCAAAGACATTTGAGGCTTCTGTGAGTTGAAGACCACTGAAGTCCAAAACACCTGGAGGGCTAGAGTTTGGAGATTACTAATGTAGACACTGCACTCCTATTGATGCAACCATTCCTCACACTGTAGGCTCTTCATCTTGAGAAACAAGACTTGGGGGGGGGGGGGGRGCACCTACACAGCACAACAACAAAAAATTCTTAGTGTTTTAGGGTCCTTCCACACAGCCCTATATACCAGAATATCAAGGCAGAAAATCCCACAGTATCTGCTTTGAATTGGGTTATCTGAGTCCACACTCAGATAATGTGGGATTTTCTGACTTGATATTCTGGAATACAGGGCTGTGTGGATGGGCCCTTGGTTTCGATGCCTGTTCTTGGAGTTATTTGGGGCACTGATTCAGACAATTGCATTGGATAGACCGCATCAGGTCTACCTTCTTAGGCCCCTTCCACACAGCTAAATAAAACCCCACATTTTCTGCTCTGAACTGGAATATATGGTAGTGTGGACTCAGACAACCCGCTTCAAAGCAGATATTGTTGGATTTTCTGCCTTGATATTCTGGATTATATGGCTATGTGAAAGGGCCCTTAGGCTCCTTCTACACAGCTGTATAAAATCCACATTATCTGGATTTTTTTGGCAGTATAGACTATGGCCCCTTCTGCACGGTCAGATCCAGGTTATCAAAGCAGAAAATCCTCATTATGTGATTTGAACTGGATTATTTTAGTCTATGCTGTCATATAATCCTGTTCAAAGCAGATGTGGATTTTCTGCTTTGATAATCAGGGTTTTATGGCAGTGTAGAAGGGGTCTTAGATATGGTTATCATAGGCCCCTTCCACACAGCTGAATAAAATCCCACATTTTCTGCTTTTAACTGGAATATATGGCAGTGTGGACTCAGATAACTCAGTTCAAAGCAGATACTGTGGGATCTTCTGCCTTGATTACTGGGTTATATGGCTGTGTGGAAGGGCCCATAGTTTTATATGGGTGAGCAGATGACAACTCGTAGATGGCATATATTATGTATCCCAAAAATTAAAGCTGATGAGGGAAGACTGGTGCCATTTTTGGAATCAGCAGGTCAAATATGCCCAGAAACAGGGATAATACTTGTGGCAGCAAAATGTGTGTAGTTAATGCAGCAGGGCACTATTGTTAATTGCCATGGCTGGATGCTTTGGGTGTTGCAGTTGTACAAGGTCTTTGAGCGCTCTCTGTCAAAGAGGGCAAGCGCCTCACCAAAGGACAACTCCAGCCCCTTCCATACAGGTGTATAAACTGCACTCTGAACTGGATTATAGGGCAGTGTGGACTCAGGGCTATATAACCCCGAATATCAAGGCAGAAAATCCCACAATATCTGCTTTGAACTGGGTTATCTGAGTCCACACTGTCATATATTCCAGTTCAAAGCAGAAAATGTGGGGTTTTATTCAGCTGTGTGGAAGAGGCTAATCTCAGTTCAAAGCAGATATTGTGGATTGATATTCCGATATGATCTGGCTGTGTGGAAGGGCCCTCCCACAGTTCCATTGGGCGCTTAGCCATGGCAATTAAATAGGTGCCAAACTGCATTGATCCTGCAATGTGGGTGCAGTTTCAATGTATTGTGAAGGCTTTCATGGCCGGAATCGCGGGTTGTTGTAGGTTTTTCGGGCTGTAGGCTTGCCACAGATGCAGGAGAGAATGCTTCAAGAATATGCCCATACAGCCCGAAAAACCTACGACAACCCGGTGCACTTTCAGCCTGCAACACAGCCGCCCTCCCTCCCTCCCTCCCTCTCAAGCGAGAGACCCAGAGGCATGGCTGTGCGGACCAACCCCTCAAGAGCAGGCCGGGCTGGAGCCTGCCCGCCCTGCCACCCCTTCTTACCCCGCCTGCCAGGGCCCGGGCCTGCTCTCTTCCCCTTCCTCACGCAAGGCCCCGGCGTTGCCTGCCTGCCTCGGCCGCGGCTGAGCTTCTTCCTCCGGGGGCGGCTCCCGGGGCCTTCCGGTCACAAGGCAGGCGGAGAGGCTCCTCCCACTCTTGGAGCGCTATCGTGCCTGCTGGGGTTGCCATGGCGACCGTTCTGCGGGATTCTGGGGCTGGTAGTACCGTGGCCACCCAAGGGCTCTCCGCCTGGGAAGCCTGTATCTCCCTCGCAGAAGGATTAATGCAGTTGCACCCTGCCCTGGCTGAATGCTAGGGAAAATCATGGGAGTTGTTGTTTCACAAGGCCTTGGAACCTTCTCTGCCCAAGAGAACTACAACCCCCATGATCCCGTAGCATTGAGCCCTGGCTGTCAAAGCGGTGCCAAATGCATTCATTCTAGATCAGGCTGTTAGGAATTGTGGGAGTTGAAGTCCAAAACACCTGGAGGGCCCAAGTTTGTCCATGCCTGTTCTAGGTAAAACGTAAAGATCTCCCCTGACATTAAGTCCAGTCGTGTCCGACTCTTGGGGATGGGGGGGGGGGGGGGGGGGGGGGGGGAGTGATCATCTCCATATTTAAGCCAAATAGCTGGTGTTGTCCTTAGACACCTCCATGGTCATGTGGCCAGCATGACTGCACCCCTAATCTCACTTGCTTATATGATTATAGCTCTGAGAATCGCACACAAATTGATCTTCCCTTTTTCAAAAAGAAAAGAGCCAACTATGCAATTGGCCTCTCCTGGAATGCATTAAGATGGAAATGAATTCTGAACTCTTGACTATACAGTGTTCCGTCGTGACTTCGTGGTTCGTTTTTAGCTGACTCTCTGTTTCACGGGTTTTTGAAAATATCAATATAAAATATTTACATCCAGTGGAGGCCAGGGACCCCAGAAGTGCAGCTTGCCTGAGGGACGGTGGGGAAGGCCTGCCTCCCTAGCCTCCACAGACCCTGGAAGTGTGGTGGCCTGAGGTGTGGTGGGAAAGGCCTGCCTCCCTGGCCTGCTGCCACCTGCATGGCTCTGGAATGACTGCCGGGGTCTGTGGAGGCCAGGGAGGCAGGCAGGCGCTCTTGGGATGGGCCGGGAGTCAGGTAAGGCAGCACGCATAAGAATATATAAAATAATGTTTAAATATTAAAATTAATATGGCGTCCCTACTTTGCAGATTCTCACTTATCGCGGGTGGTCCTGGAACGGAACCCCCGTGATAAGTGAGTGAACACTGTATCTTCTTTCTTCTATATATATAAAAAATGCTCTGTTCATTTTGAGTGACATCATAACTCAACTGGACGAATTGCCACCAAATTTGGCCACAAGGCACCTCTTAACCCAAGGAGTGACCATCACTCAAAAATTGATTTTGTCATTTGGGAGTTGTAGATACTGGGATTTATAGTTCACCTACAATCAAAGAGCATTCTGAACTCCACCAATGATGGAATTGAACCAAACTTGGCACACAGAACTCCCATGACCAACAGAAAATACCGGAAGGGTTTGGTGAGCATTGACCTTGAGTTTGGAGTTGTAGTTCACCTACATCCAGAGAGCACTGTGGACTTCAAACAATGATGGATCTGGATCAAACTTGGCATGAATATTCAATATGCCCAAATGTGAACACTGGTGGAGTTTGGGGAAAAATAGACTACATTTGGGAGTTGTAGTTGCTGGGATTTATAGTTCACCTAATCAAAGAGCATTCTGAACCCAATCAATAATAGAAGGGGCTGCATTTGATTCGGGGGGGGGGCTGAGGTTGTTTTTTTTTGGGGGGGGGGGGCTGAGTCTGAGTGAAAGAGGGTCTACCCTAGCAAACCTTTTGTATCATTATCCCATGCATATGGGATATATTGAGAATGGTGATCAGATCATGATATGAATAAACATAACAGTTTAAATAATGTACCAGTAAGGCCTTCTCGCGAACCACCGTGAGAATTTCGGGGGGGGGGGGCTGAAGCCCCTCAAGCCCCCCCCCCCCCCCCCCCCCCCGGCTACATGCCTGCCACCAACGATAAAATTGGGCCAGATTTTCCACACAGAACCTCCATGACCACCAGTATAATCTCTTTGGTTTTATTTTCTGTTATGGAAATCAATGGCTACAATGAAAATCACCTTTATGTGAAAATAAGGGAGAGAAAATAAATACCAAATGCACTTTAAGAGAGAGTTAGTACTGTCTGCACGCTCACCTATCTTTAAAATATCCAACCTATTTCCCTGGATATGCCCAGCATTTTAAAATTTTTGATTCTTACATTTGGCCCTGCCACAGGTTTTAAATTGCGTCATGTCACTATTGTATTGTTTTTGCTTTGTTATGAGTTATTTATTGTTGTATTGTTGTTGTTATGTTTTATGATGTATTTGGGCTCGGCCTCTTGTAAGCCACACCGAGTCCTGCGGGAGATGGTAGCGGGGTATAAATCAAGGTTTATTATTATTATTATTATTATTATTACTGCTAACACTCTGTGACAGTTACCATAGGAAACATCTTGTGTTGATTTGATTTAGCTGACTTTACCTACTGGTTTAACTGGTTTAGAAAAGATGTGGAGGCAAAGCCAAGCATTTGTAACCAGTAAAGCAACTTTCTAAGTTAATTATTTGCTTAGTGTTGGTGCAGCAAATAGTAACCCAAGACTGTCCTAGGAACTAAGGGCCCTTCCACACAGCCCTATATCCATATTAAAAAAAATCCCTTCACTTGGGTGGTGGGCAGTATGGTGTTTGTGGAGGAAATTGAGCACTCTGAGCTCCACCAAAGATGGAATTGGACCAAACTTGGCCTACAGAGCCCCCATGACCAGCAAAAAATACTGGAGGTCTTTGGGGGAAAATTCACCCTTGATTTGGGGGAGTTGTAGTTCACTTACATCCAGAGAGCACTGTGAACCCAAGCATCAATGGATCTGGACTCCGTTTACATGCTGACACTGCTATATTTACGTTTTAAAATTTCAGGGGGGGAAAATGTAAAAATAAAAGTGGCCAGAAAAAACCCTGAAATTCCCGATCTGGTCTACGAGAGGTGTATCTATCATTTTCTTATCTCTGTGAAGCCCGCCACAGCCCACTTTATTGCCTTTCGATAGGAATGCCGGGTAACCGGAAAGACAACGCGAGGGAGACGGAATGCCTGAGTGGCCAATCCGGATCGCGTTCGGCAAGATGGCGGCGCTGGGGGGCCGAGGGTGCAGTGGCGGGGAGGGCGGCGCGCGCGGGGGCCCGGACCCTCTGCTGCTGCTGCACCCGGAGCTCCTCTCGCAGGAGTTCTTGCTGCTGTCGCTCGAGCAGGTAAGAGCGCGCGCGCTCTCCGGCGGAAAGGGGCGTGGCCAGAGCGGCGCGGGGGGCTACCGAAATCGACCATGACGGGCTTTGCAGGCTTATTCCCAGAGAAGCTGAAAGCCCTCTTTCCTCAGCTGGGGGCTCTGCTTCCGGTTCCCGCTGGCTTGTTGCAAGGTAGCCCAGCCTGCCCCTCTGGCGCAGGTACCATGATTTCTATGGAAATCCTAACAGGTTTCTCAGTGTTCTTGGTACTATTATTATCACCATTATTATAAAACATAGCATGGAAACAGATACTCGGAAGGCACCAAGGCCTATCAGCCCTGGTTGACGCAATACAGGTGCATTTGCACTGTGGAAGGAATGCAGTTTGACTCCACTTGAACTGCCACTGAAATCCTGGGAGTTGTAGTTTGCTGTGGGTGCTGTCTTAGAGGAAGGGTCTGGCAAAGCCACCTCTGAGTGTCCCTTGCTCAAGAGAACCCTGTGCAATTTGTGGCAGGCTACCTATGCGCAAGGCCACCAGGTGAAGAGGTAAAAACTTGGCTCTTTGAGCAAACTTTTGAGAATGTAGCGGAATACATAACATGGAACTATGAATGATGAACACGGAATGGCTAGATGATCTTATTGGAAAACATTTTTAACAGGATGACACCGATGACTAGATGTTTTAATGGTTTTTATATGTGTTTTTATATTGTCATGTTGATGGTTTTGAATTGCACTTTTTTGAATGTATGGCATCAAATTGTGCCAACCTATAACCCACCTTGAGTCACCATATAGTTGAGAAAGGCGGGCCATAAATATCATAAATAAATAAGAGGCCAGTAAAGAAAAGGGCCAAAGAACAGGAAAGGGACCATGCCTGCCTCTACAAAGACCTTTCAGGACACCATTTGCTTCCTACCTTACAAAAGTGTTTTACTGAAAGACAGCAGTATGTCTCATGCCTTTGTAAATTTATCTGAATATGTATTTGTTTATGTATTCATTGTATTAGTAGTTTACATATGCTGAAAGAATATGAAGGAATGGAGATACCTGCTGGGTGCTTGTTGACAAACTTATTCAACATAACCATAAAATAATTCTTGTTACCTTGTATGAAAGCCTTCTCTATATGATGTTTGTCTGTTTTGTAATGTGTCATTTTATAACCTGAAGTGTATGTCTTATATGATTTGCAGTTTCCTTATCTCTATATACCTTAAAGCAGTGGGAGGGGCTGCAGGGCACATGACTGACTCAGTGACAGTTTAGAATGTTTGGGTTCAACTAAGATGACAGTTGAGGAATGACTGTTAGAGAATGTTGTTGGGCCTTGAATGAGCTTGAGTATAAAGGTTTGTCAGAGTGCAGAAGCTAATTTTAGGAAGTTAGAAACTGTTGAGGCTTGAGTTTTATTTGAAAATAAACACTTATTAAAGAGAGCTGTATAAAACAACATAATTTACGAAGAAATTGTTAAAGATTATTGACCCTTGACAAAAATGTGTGTGTATCTTGTGATCCTAACAGTTCATAGTCTATACACCAATGGTCAGTGATTCTAACAGGTCATGATCCTCAATAACCATCTGGGTAATTACAAACATATGCCAGGAAATTGTCAGCTTTTCATGTATCTTAAAGTCAGATGCTTTGAGCATCTCAGAAGAGGAATGGCAATGCCCTCTGAATATATCTTGCTAAGGAGAACCTGTTATAGGTTCATATTAGTCCCACTACAAGTAAAAAGAAGTTGCACAGCAAAATGAAGATGAACAGCATGAGATCAGTTGATATAACAGTTCTTTAAAACTGTAAAAGAACTGTTATATTAACTGGCTTCTTGAGCTATTTACTTTGGAAAAGCCTGAAATTATTCCCCCCCCCCTGTGTATTAAAGACCCACATCATATTTGTGTCCATTGACTGTAAGTGTTTTTTCCTCCCTGGAAGAAAATAGCTGGAGGACCATTTTGAGTAGTATTGCTTTGAAGTGAGTAGTTATGTTTCTTGTCACAATTACATTTTTGTATTTCTTTTCAACAGAGGAATATCCCTGTAGAAAATGAGTTGAAGGTCAGTAAAGATAGCCTTACTGATCTCTATGTTCAACATGTTATACCATTGCCTCAGCGGGAATTACCAAAAACCAGATGGGGGAAAATAATGGAGAAAAAAAGAGGACAACAGGTGACGAAACATGACATGAAAAGGTAATTGCTTCTTGCTCTTGGAGTCTGAAATCCTTCAGAAACATGAATACATAGGACATTGCTGTGTCCATTTAGCGTAACATTTCTAAAATGAATGGTACTCTCCAATTATTGACCAGTTTGTTTGTTTTTTTTATCTCTCAGCTACAATCTTATTTGATTAAGAAATCATAATGATTGAGACTTGTTCCTTCTTATTGGATAAGCAAATTGATTTTTATTTTATTGGATGCAGTAATGTTATATCCAGAGATAGACAGACAGATAGATAGATAGATAGATAGATAGGACAGTTATTAACATTTTTATTAACATTTTATACCACTTTTCATTTAAAAAATCAAAATAACGTATGATCGAAATAAAATAAAAAACAGCTGCTAAAGATAATGGCTGGATTTCTCTATTATAGTCAATTAAGTATTTAATTAGGTAGCGTCTTCTAGATTGACACCACAAAATCTGATAGAGACATAATTCAATGGGGAATGTGATGGGGTTTGCAGTGGGATTTGTATGTGAATGGATTACAGAGCTGAGTATCTAGCTACTGCTGAGTAGCCAAATAAAGTCATCAAAATGTCTGGAGTATTCCTAAGCAAGAAGAGCTAATTCAGAGCAATAAACAGAATGGCAAGGGCCTCAGACCCACCTACACTAGTTTGAAACTCTGCTATATGATCAGTGTAGACTCATATAATGCAGTTGAATTGCATTATATGAGTCCACAATGCAGTTTCAAAGTTCATTATATGGCAGTGTAGATAGAGGCCCTAATCAACCTTAGAAAAGGCTCAGTTGACCTTGGTTATCTCCTGAAAAATCCCTTTGCATAGATTACGTAGAGCACAAATATAAACAGGATGGCCCTGCTATTGAAGTAAACAAACTAGCGTTTGGGTATCTGAGGCAGTATCAATATTGCCTATTGCTGAAGTATGACTTGAAAATCATGTATGTGACATTAGAATGGATTCATGCTCTGGCTGAAAAAAGAGATCGGAAATCTCTTTTTGTTAAAATTATAACTTTTTGTTTAAAACTGTAAAATTTAGGAAAGCTTGACTATGACTGGTATGAATATGTTTAGAATAATAATATTTTCATAATTTTTATATTTGACTGTGATTCCTGAGGATATTAGAAGAATACCATCTTCCTCCAGACAAATTTCGTCTTAATTTCAGTGCCTTGTGATTTAAGTTTAGTAACTAGGGAAAAAAATTGAAAATTGGGCTTACTTCCAAGAAGTGTTGATAGAGAGGTGGAGATTTTCTTTGTGATTTTCTTTGCATCTGTAATCTGTTTCTAGGGATGTTACTTTACTGTTTGTTTGTTTTTTGTTCAGCTTTGCTACTGTAGAAAATCTGAGGAAACGCCCTCTGATAGTATTTGATGGTAGCTCAACAAGTACGAGTATAAAAGTGAGGAAGACAGAAAATGGAACTGTTGATGGTCTAAAACTTGCCACGGGAAATGCAAGTGCACCTTGCAGGAGACGCTCTGTTTCTTCAGATTCTTTGGCGTGTGTATCTGTTTCCAGCGATTCATCAGACTTTAAAATAGACACCAGGATTAATGAAGCAAAACAGAACAATATTAGAATAAATAACAATATGGCTTCTAGTCAAAAGTCCCCACCTTCGCTGCCTGTAATAGGGACTACTGTTGTGAAATTAAAGAGAGCTGCCCCAAAAGAAGATATAGATGCATCAGTGAGTATACATTTGGTGATCTGCAACTATTCTTTTTTAACCAAGTGCATCTCTTAGTAGCTTACATTTGAGTTTTATAACTGTAATTGAGTCTCTCTGATTGTTCAATGTTGCTGCGACTTTGACACAATTGTATTATTGTTAGAACAGTGATTCTTAACCTGTGGGCCGTGGCCCAGCAGTGGGCCATGAGAATGAAAATCTGGTTTGCAAACCTCCTCCCCTTTTATTTATTTATTTTCTTTTATTTGTTTTATTTCCGCTCCTTTCCGCAGAGCTGACCAGCCCTGCCCCTTTTGGTACTAATGTTGGAGAGTGGTCCCTTGTCAAAGTGATCTCCGGTCAAGTGGACCCTAGTCAAAAAAGGGTTGGGAATCACTGTGTTAGAATGAGTGTTAAAAAGTTAATGAGCTTTGGATTTGGAGTGTCAGATTTTTTTGGGAAGATGAGGAGCATAATTAGATTTTCATATTTAAAAAGGCTTCTTCCGGAGTAGGTTTTAGAATGCAAATTAGTAATAATAATAATAATATAATAATACTTTATTTATATTCCGCCCTTCTCACCCTGAAGGGGACTCAGGGTGGATCACAGTACATATACTTGGTAAACATTCAATGCCTTTTTGTATAGACAATACACAGACAGACAACAGAAGGAGGTGGTTTGTTTCAATTCAGTGTCCAGCTGGTTTTTTTTTTTTTTTGATGCCATGGAAGGTTGGGCCTGAGTCCAGGGGGTGATGTTGCTCTATCATCTATGACAAAGAGCTGTCAGGACTTCCTCCTTCCTTTTGGTCGCCCAGCATTTTCTGATCTTTTCTTTATGGCATCTTAAAAACCTCCCCCGCTTTTTTTAGCGGTACCTAATTTCTCTAATTACAGCTAAAGCTGTTTTTGAATGGCTTAGATAAACAATGAGCTAGGGTGTCATTTGGCAACTCATGCCAAACCGGGGGTTCGAACTTGCAACCTTTTGGTTGATAGATCTTACAATTGGTGACGATTTACCAGCTGTGTTTACCAGCCCGGCACAGCTGGTAAATCGACATGAATATATCGAGTATTTCAAAAAGATGGACCCAATTTCGTTGCTATGTCTCTGCAACTACAGGCTGCCTAATACTGAAACTCTTTTACCACTTGAAAGGGAGGGGAACAGAGTTTCAAAGGTGTACCTGTAGGTGCCTCTCCCGGGGCACAAACAACCCCCAGTCTCAGTCATGCGCAAGATGACAACTCTGCATCGTAAGAGCTGATGAGATATTCCCCATGTTCTTTTTTTTAGATTTGTTTCTGGCTCAAAACGGTTAATGAAACCTGATAGTTTGATCACTCATTAAATCGTTTTTAACTTTTTGTATCATTGAAATGTTGCCATTGTGAAATATGCTGCTTTTGAAATTCAGTACATCATTTTGAAACACCTTGTATTACACCATTGACTTAACTGTAGTTATCCACATTCTGGTTCCTCTCCTGTATTCCTTCAACTTGTGTCAATGGCTTGGAAAACACTCCTTCTGCAAATTTCCTTCAGCAACCTAAGACCCAAGCCAGTATTTCCAATACACTACCTAGTCTCAACTAAAGTAACATATTTAATAGATGCCAAGTCTACATGTAACTTAATGGGTCTACCCGAGTAAGTGTTGGCAACTAGGCCAAAGGAATCACGCAGCCCTCCAGACTGCAGCTTCCAGAATTCCTAACTGCTGTCTAGGACTTGAGGAAGTTGTAGTTCTAACAACATCTGGAAGGTTGCACAATTCCATCTTCGAATCTAGGTCAACTTTCCCACGAACATTTCTGAAATTTGGGAGATTAATTTTTCTTCTTTGCGCCTTTCTTGTGTCATTGGGACCATATTTTTAATTCTGCCACTAGGTGGCAATACAAACCATACTTCAGATCTTTTGCTTTATTATTTTTAATGTTTTAATGTTGCCAGTCTAACTTAGTTTATCATTTTCATCCTCAGAACGGCCTAAAGCCCTCTGACTCAAAGAAGAAGATCCAGCATGTAACATGGCCATGAATGCACAAGGTGATTGAAGTGTAAATAATGTTCAGTCTTCATTTCAGAATGGAAGAACTGAACAGCATTGCAGATTGTAATGGATTCTCCATAATGTTAGTGATGCCACAGTTTGATTCAGACACCATATTTTAACTCATTACCAAAAGAGCACTTCTTGTATTGCACTTTGAGTTACTGTCTTGCCCTTTTAGTGGGTGGTTTTGGTGGAACAGAAGTGGGCTTCCACCATACCTTTGGGGTTTTCAAGTGTACTGTAGTTCAGCCCTTGCATGACCTAATCAAGAGAATCCATGTGAGTTCATAACTGTTCATGTTCAGCTATAGAGTACTGATTTGTTCAGTAAATACAAATCTCTGTACAAACATATCTAACTGCAATTGAAATTTGTACTTTCCCATTCTACTGGATTTTCCATGGTAATTAAATAGACTTTGCATAAAATAGGTTGTTGGCAAGGCTAGAAAAATATTCAAATTCTTGGGCACAAATACCAAGTATTTCAAAGACGTCTAGAGTTTTCCAGCCTTTCTATGAGAATGTTATTATACCTATAAATGTAACAGGAGGGGGATGACTGAATTGTGTGGTGTCTTTGCTTCAAATTGAAGTTTTTGTTATAACTGAAGTTAAATAGATTTCTGTTGTCTTTGGAGATAACAGGTAGATGAACAGAAACAAATATTGTACTTTTATACACTTGCATAAGTATTTTTGATGAAATACTTGTACATTTGTGGAAGATGTTACTTGCCTGATTACTGAATGCCTGATAAAATTTAGGAGGAAAGCTCACACTTGTTTGGGCAGTTTGAAAAGAAGGTATTAACTTACTTCACTGTTAAAAGGCAATTTAAGTTTGCAAAGAAACATCTTGCTTTTTAAAACTCTGTGGATAAATCTGACAAGTTTGTTTGGAACTGTATGGATTCTCCTTTGGATCATGTGAAGCCCATTCACTTTGAGTATAAATATTTGACCCACGCTCCCAGGCACAAAATAAAATTAATCATATGCACAAAAGAAGTTTTATTTACCTAGATTCTCTGAAGATACTGGCAGCATCTCAACATTAACTCCAAGTTTCAAAACTTAAAAAAAAATTAAAATTGTTAATATGCAACTACTGTAGAATGAAATGCAGTTGGAGTAAGAATGGTCCACCTTACAGGAAAACAGTGTGTAGTGCAGCCAGAATTGAGTACATTGCTTCAGAGATTTCAGTAAGACAAGTAAGTATATACTATGGACCTGTTTCAAAAGTAAACTAATGAGAAATAGAGGCCACACTTGCCTGCCTTTGAGTAAGTGCCACTGAAGTTAATGGGACTTGCTTCTGAGTAGACATGCTTAGGATTGCACTGTACAAATTCCACTAGATCATAACACGTAAGTATGGTGTGTTTGCAGTGTTTGCCTCTACCTGAATACTTGTGCAAGTTTTGTACTTTAGTACAGCACATTTTAATTTTGTGTGTTTTGTATCTGAAAAGTTGTCTTTTTATTAGCCATATCTGGTTTCAATAAACAGAATTAAAAGTGAATTCTTGTTGTGTGGATGTATTAAATTAATCTGCAGAGGGAGAGTGATTGTGTAGGCATGCTTCTTCTCTATAAATGCTTGCAAACCAGGTTTGGAGCTCAAGTACATTTCAGGAATCAGCTTTCAACCTGGATGTGCAGTTTGAACTTGCAAACCTAAAAGTAGAAGTCCAACCTTGCCACTTTTTAGATCTTTCTAATCTGGCCACAAAGGCCCCTGCTTTAATTCGCTGCCAAGCTATTGTAATGCACTCTCTGAAGGTTTCACTGATCAAGCTATTTATAGGGAATATTCAACTTCTGTGTTACGATAGATTCACTGATTACCTATCTAGTTCTAGACACAATGGAAAGTACTACTTTTAAAACATAAGGTCCAAAAAAACCCTTTAAGCCTGGATTATTTGAACTACAGCTCATTCAAATTATTTTTTTCTCATGAACTTTCCAAAGGCTTTTAAGATCTTTGGGGGGGGGGGCATCTTTCTCACCCCACTGCTCTCAGGGGCACTTTTAGTGAGGAGGAGGAGACAGGGTTTTTTTGGTAGGTTAGTCTCAGGCTTTGGATCATCCTTTTAAGGGAAACTAGATTGCCCTCCTCCTTATTGTTCTCCTTTCAGGAAAGGACTTTTATATAGTTGTTCTTTTGAGATTACAGATGAGTTTCTGTTAAAGGGAACTGCTGTCTGTCAAATGCTTGAAGTGTATTTGTATTTAGTGTTAACTCCTTTGAGTTCTGTTTTTGATAGAGAGATAGGGCATACATTTAATAAATGAAGTGTGGAATTATGGCACACAACCATCAGTCTCAACAGTTGGAGTTTTCAAGTATTATTTATAAGTGATATCATATTACAGTAAATCTGTGCTCTTAAAATTATAAAATGGTTTTGCTATATAATGCTTTAAACAGCATTCTTGATTATGAGATTCATAAAGGTAAAGGTTTCCCCTGACATTAAGTCTAGTCGTGTCCAACTCTGAGTGGTGATGCACATCTCCGTTTCTAAACTAAAGAGCTGGCTTTGTCTGTAGATGCTTCCAATGTCATATGGCCAGCATGACTGCATGGAGTGCTGTTACCTTCCCGAAGAAGCGGTACCTATTGATGTACTCACATTTGCATGTTTTCAAAGTGCTAGGTTGGCAGAAGCTTAGGCTAACATCAGAAGCTCACCCCACTCCCTGGATTCAAATCTCCAACCTTTCAGTCAGCAATTTCAGCAGATCAGCGGTTTAACCTGCTTCACCACCAGGGGGCCCTGGGTGAGATTCATACAGAAGGGTAAAATTTGGTTTGACCGAATACCTCCTGCTGTATTTGAATTTTTTCCAGTAACCAAGTCTTCTCTGAACCCATCATGTTTAAAATCAATTCTTCGTTTGTATCTCTCAGAAGAAAGATGAAATTTGTAATAGAGTGGGAAGAGTCGTCTGCTTCCCATTTGAAATGAAGAGAATTGTATTGTCTGGTTTTTGGTAACCCTAAGTTGGCTCTATCATAGGGTTTTCTTGACAAAATTTGTTCAGGGAGGAGACTTTCTTTATCTTCCTATGAGGCTGAGTAGTATGACTTGACCAAGATCAACAAGTGGGTTTCCAAGGCTGAACAGGAATTTGAACTTTCATCTCCAGAGTTGTTGTCACATCACTATTCCATGCTGTACACAAATTGGACTGATGCTTGTGTGTCTATTCTTGAGATTTGTGGTGGACCAGAGCAGTAACTGGACCCAAACAACATGTTCACATACCATCCAGAAAAACCTTCAGAATGTGGATTTAGCTGATATCTCTCACTATCGGCACAACACTAAAGCACCCAATCTTATTATAAGTATGAAAACAGTCAAATTCTTCATAATTTCTGCCTATATCAGCCTCTTTAAATGGTGTGAAATATTCCTTGTTACCTCAAAAAATGCAACCCCCCCCCCCAAAAAAACAACCCCAAAACAACCCACTGTCTGTCACTGTCAAAAGAATGTGCAGAAACAGCCCTGAAGGAACGAAGCTAGTGGATGCCACATGTTATGAGCACAACAGTTTCATAGTATTGCTGAAAAAAGGTCAGCACTCCATATTCATGGATTCTGCACCCACAAATTCCACCATACACAGCTTGATTTTTTTAAAATCCAAGAAGCAACCCTTAATTTTGCCAGTGTATATAATGGGACTTGAGCATTCATAGATTTTGGTAACTCCAAGGGTTCCTGGATACCAAGAGTCCACAGTACTTTAAGCACCTGAACTCTCAGTGAAACTTACATATAGTGATATGAAGTAGATAAAGATCTGTAGCAGAGTCAGTGTAGGAAGCACATACATTCTCAGTAGTTAGAATAATCTAGTTGCTAATAATGTTGAAAAGCCAATTCATTATTAATTTCCGTCTCAAAAATTAGATTAGATCTGCAAATCCTATGGCTTTAGGGGCTGTGGGGTGGGAATGTGGGGGGATGGGTCTGTTTGTGATGTGTGCTGGGGAAAGCATTTAATTTTGTTGTACAATGCACAATGACAATGTTTTCTATTATATTCTATTAAGAATAGACCGGTTTTATGGTGGGATGATGTGGCACTTTAGACTTCTAGTTTCCCACAAACATACCTAGAAGCAAGTCCTGCTGAAATCAGGGATGCTTACTTCTAAATAGACTAGGCTACATGGTAAATCACTGGTGCTTCCACTTTGAACATATAAACAAGTGTTCCATATTCATTTGAAGTTTAATTTTCAGGGCTAGTTTTGTTGCAGAAGCTATACATGGCTGGAGACCCACTGACTTTAATACATTTACTTGAGATGGGACTAACATTGGATTTAGACCTATATTCTATTGTTTTAGATACTGAAGTCCAAAGACACCTTAAATTGGCAGAACTGGTTGAGGAGTTCTCTGGACCCAGTTGTCCAACCGAAATCCCGTTGTATATACTGGTTATTAGGTTCCTCAATGTCCTAAAGGCACCAAATCCAAACTGATCTTGGAAACTATGGTTGTTCCATCCCAATGAGTACTTGGATGGGAGACTGACAATGAATACTGGATAATATATGCTATATTTCAGACAAAGGGAATGGCAAAACTCCCTCTGAGTAGTCCTTGTGTTAAGAATTCCCTATAGGATCATCATTAAGTTGACAGATGACTTGAAGACACAGAGTGGATAGGTATGTGCCTAATTCAAGTGAAATTCTGAAAATAATTGTATTGTCTCCTAAATAGGAGAAGAGGAGCAAAGAAGCATAACTTTATTTTCGCTTGGGAGAAAAAGGATACCAACCTTAGGAGTGCCAATGTGTAGCAGAATAAGTTTGAAGATTTCCTGTCTGATGTTCTGACTAGTGCTTGGGTTTATTTGCTGTGCAAGTACATTGAACAAGATGCTGCTGCCATTTTCCATTAGCATCAAAGATATCGTGTTGCAACTATTTGGAGCTGGAATGTAGCACTGTGCATGCCGTGCATTGTTGCCTAATATTTGAGGAAACTGGGCAATTTGTGTTTATGCAAGGAATAGTCAACCACTTAGCTGTTAGCATCTAAAAGTGCTTTTTTGTCACGATCTCAATGATGCCTGCTATAGGAAACTGAAAAATGTCCTCCCCCACTTTTTTTTATGAGACAGCCGGGGATATTCTCTGCTATTTGTATGAATTCCACATGTTAAACAAAAAAGTTAAACACAACCTTTTCCTAAATGTTAATATTTATTAGAAGCAAATTTTAAAACATCAAATTTCACCAAAATACAGTAGGCTGGTTAGAAAAACCGTTTCTTGATAAAATACACAGTGCGGTGACATTTCCAAACAAGTACCAGAAACCGGAAACATACTTTGTGCAATGATCTTGCAATATCGTGGAATAATGTGTTCCATTTAAATTTCATGCAATCTGATCCTGTGAATGTTTATTTAGAGACAATCCCACAGAGTTCAGTGGGAGTTATTCCAATGTAACAATGCACAGAACAGCAGCCTTAATCCCTTATTTTAAGGCATGAGACACAAAACATTCTATGTATTTCCTACGTATAATCCCCTTCACATCTGCCATGAAATAATCAGGTTTCTTTATCTAAACAGTAGTCATGGTAAGCCCCATTTTGAAAAGTATATTCGTTTTACACTGCATCCATCTGCTAAAAAGAAATAATGTTTGAATAACTCGTAACTGATTCCTGTATTAAATTTATTATCCATGAATGCATGTCAAAATCACCTTCCCTCCCTTTATGCCCTTTCCTTCTCTAATGCATTGCTATCATCTAGGAAAGAAATTTAACAGATGAGTATATATGTAAATTAATGTAACAATGAAACACCACATTTTGCACATCCAATCACAACCCATAAATGTTATTAATCACTTTGGAAAATATATGCATTTGTAAGAACAGCTATTAAAAATGACTTCTAAATATCTTTCCCGCACTCCGGGCACAGGATATCGTCTCTTTCAGTAAGAAAACCACGGCCCACTAACGACAGGGAGCACTTCTTACAATTGAAGCAATCGTTGTGCCATTGGCGTTCCTCAAAGGAGATATATTTGGTACCCCCAAGTCCTGAAAAAGCAAAGTAGGTCATTAGAAGGAACCATGATACATCTCTGTCTGAAACCATGTTGGATAATGACTCACCTAATTTTTGTTGATATGAAAATTGTGTAATCGTAAATGTGTAGTATTGCAGTTAGGACTGTGTAACCTAGTGTTGCACACTTGTGACTCTTAAATACGGTATTCATGATCCCTATGTAATCTTTAGGGGCTATGTAGGAATGGGAAAGTCCTCCTTTTTTCACTTACTAGGCAGCAGCCACCTCAGTCAACAGTGGTCTGTTTCCCCTGTCATTTGGGAAGTATCTTCCTGTCATTTACAATTTCACATATGTGAAAGAACTCCAGTAAGGGCGAACTGCAACAAGGTTTCTGCCTGTCACACCAGATATTGGTCACTTGGTTGGTATGGAAAAGGTAGCTGCTTCCC